TTTATTTGACTTAAAATATGAAACTATGAATAGCATTTTGATGCTGTTTATGACCTCCTTCAAGAAAATGACATATCATTACACCATAAGCAGGTAACATTCAGGATAATAATAATAATAATTTATTGACTTCTAAGGCGCAAATTCTATGTATATATATTCAAATGCCCCGTAGCATAATAATTACAATAAACTAAAGATAAAATAAAAATAACAATAATAATGATAATTGGAATACAAATAACAATTAAATACGATTCATAATAAATAAAATCATATATAACATATAACTAATAATTAATTATTACTTGAAATGTTCTATTTAAACTTTATCAATGAATAAATAACTATAAAAACTTTATCAATTATAAAATGCTTTCTTAAAAAGAAACGTCTTAAGCTTTGATTTAAAACTATTAATAGAACTAGATTCTCGTATATTCCTTGGTAAATTATTCCATAGCTTAGGTGCCGCAAACATAAATGCTCGGTCACCAAGTGTTGCCTTAGACTTAAAACTAGGATAACTGAGTAAGGTCTTATCCCTAGAATTCCTTAAATTATATCTTGACTCGGGCTTGCGTGTAATTAGAGAACTTAAATAAGACGGTGCAAAACCCTTAAAAATCTTGAAAACAATTAATACAATCTTAAATTGAATTCTTAACTTAATAGGTAACCAGTGCAACTCCATCAATAAAGTAGTAATATGACAATAATTTACTGGGATGTACCAATGATCAGAAACTCAGTCTTGTCGTCGTTCAGTTTCAATTTTTATTTTGTATTAACTCCAGAGATGCGTATTTACTAACTTCATTCACTCCTATGAGAGATCATTGTGTAATTTCTCTTCATAATGCCAATTCGTTGTTAAGCATTAAAGAGATGAGCAAAAGGAAAATATCAATGAGGGGTTTAACTGCAAATTCTCAGAGACAAAATGATAGGAAATATACATTTCAACAATACTATGGAGTGTTTTTATTCATAACTTGAGAATAAAGGGAACTATTTAACGTCTACTGAAGAATATGTCGTCGTCAATACTTGATGATGCTTGGTCTGGGTTAAACATTCAACCCCTAAGAGTGATCAGCATCTAAATTCTCCTTTCATTGTTGCTCGTGAACTAAACATTAAGGTCACGAAAATAGAAGAAATGATCACCAACAGGCTCTTGGTCGTTAAATAAGTTCTCCTTGACAGCGCCTTAGAGAATGTACAGAAAACAGTATAGAGAATACGCATACTGATGTTAAGGTGTAGAGGGTTAATTTTACGTTGATGAGGTCACGGTCAAAAAGATTGTTATTGGCATTGGTAGTATGGACTTATTAGAGATCTTTCTTTTGTTCGGAAGCTAAAGTTTTCCTCGCCCAAAAAGCCTCTGTTCTTTCACATTAGACATAGAGTACAATCTGGTGGATAGCTTATCGATTGTTTTATCTTTCTGTTATCAAACACTTCTTCATATGTCAACAATACGGCATAAAGAGCAAACTTAAGGACGTTAAACGCGGCTCATCACGTGATGGTAAATTGTTGCCAATTTTATACAAGTTATCATTTACACGATTCACTTCGTTTCGACGTCAAACAGGAAAAAATGAAACATAGGGAAAGAATAGTAACTCGTCAAACTTCTCTCTTTTTTCTGCACCAAACCAACAATTTCATTTGAGTTGTTCTATAACTTCCTGCTCATCACGACCAAAAATTTAATAAATGTTCTGAAATAATGTCAATTCCGTGCTGTGAGTGTTTTAAGAAAAAGAATCCACAACTAGTTTCATCAGCTCCAGGCCACGGCTTATAAAAAACATGCAAATTAGAATGAAATTTTTAATCAGGCCTCTAGTCAAATAAAAGGCCGGAGATGAGGTCTATGCCTTTCTTGTTGAAATATGAATTTTAATTTCTGTGTAGACATCGGCGAACAACAATGCTAATATCTCAAGAAAATGTATCAGTATGAGTTTTATTACCCTTCAATAGAAACTAAATATCCGTGGGTCTGTCTTTATATTTCAAAGTCATGGGAGTTTATAAGAATGGTCGTAAATAAAAAACTTTGGCACCATAAAAGATTTACTCTTACTCGAAAACCGGCACCGCAGAGGTATTTTACGGAGAGAAAACACTCACAAATCGAAATACTAGCGGTGTTATCTCATGATGGTTAATGAGGAGGATAGGTATCAAAGTCATTTTACTTACATCAGAGTAAAAGCAGTCGGTGAAATTGGACCGTGTGTGACTTGATTGGGGGCGAAACTTTTTGCGTCCGTCAAAGAATCATTTCAAACCGGCATCTTTTCTTAAAGGTGCAGTTTTTAGTTTTGGTATGTTTGTTTCTTATCCATGCTGAGCTATTATTTCGTTACTTCCTTTAATTTTACGGTATTTAAGCAATGGTATAAAAAAGTGACTCGTGAATTAGGTACTTAAATTTCCATCAATAAAAAGGATTTCACCTGAAGATTTCGACGTATTTCATCGCCAAACCATTATTTTAAGTACAAGTCCTTTTTTCGTGGGTTTTTTTCATGTCATCCCCTGCTAGTGGCCACTACGTCATGTGTCTTGCTTGCCACGATCGAGGTGGAATCGTATGCAATCTTTAGTAAGGTAATCTGTTAAGGTAATGGCATTGAAAAAGAGGCAAGAATAAATTCAAGAAGGAACATGGATGTCTTGGATCGGGAAAAATTTGAAAGAAAGAAAAAGAAGAAGAAAGAAAACATTGAAAATTTTATGCTAAGTCTATGTAGTTTCATTCGGTGGTCACACTTGGCCTCTCACGTGGGGATGAAACACGTGTTCGGTTTAGAAACGAGTGCTGGAAGACTGGAAGGTCACGTTTTTCCATATACATTAAGAAAATGTTTAATCTGAAAAATGCTAAAGGTTCTCTTTAAACAAAAATGCACGCCTAATGAAGAGTTAATGAACAATGTAAGAGGAGCTTAACATGCCAAAAAACCAAACCAGGCGTCATGCAATAGATTTAGCACATAACTAGGTGCATGAATGAATCAGTCAAAGAAATAAAGAGTTTTCCGTTCTGTTAGCTTTCTAGGACCCTCTAGGCTTTCACATTCGCCAGCAGATTTTGCTTCGCCTTCAGTGCGTCAAGAGGCCGGAATAATAAACAAATTGCTGTAACAATACAACCCCCTAAAGGCAACTTAACAACAATTAATTAGCATAAGCGACGCCCATAAAGAAAGCCTCTGCAGGGATCCAAGTTCAATTTGAACCAGGTTGTAGCTCTAAGCTGTGCTTTGCTTTCTCACTCCGAGGGAAAGAAAAGCGAGATCAGGAGTTTTCGACTTTTCGTGCAAGTGTTTGGCAAAGAGGTTAGTTAACACATTTCGAACACTTCTTTTTTTAAACGTGGAAAAACCTTATTCTTTTGTTTATGCATCTGGAAGAAATGTGAAAACGACCTCAAAATGAAATTATTTCATTTTATAGAGCTCCTCTTTTCTGTCAAATTGAAATCGTGTTCAATTAACAATCCTTTTCCCTTAGGCTGTCGTGCTCTACAATTTAAACATCATTCAGTCTTGCAGCGCTAATTTCAGACAAAATGTTTGCCGGTGGTCTTATTCCGACATCAGTTTATTTGTTTCGTCAGTAACTCGACACCTCTGCTATAAGTTAAACATTGATAGAAATCACGTTCCTACATGTATTATGGATGTGTTTGTTTATTCGGTAAACGTCTATTTCGCATAACACTTCAAAATTCTTAAAACAATATTCAGTTGCTTCAATACGATTTCAAACAATTGTGCAAGTACGTGTATGATTTTAAATATTCTCTGTCCTATTTGAAATATTCAAATTCTTTCCATTCTTGCCATATCGAAAACTCCCTCATCATTTTCATTTGGAATCTTTGAAAAAAATTAGCACGGGTTGTGTTCTCGTCAAGCGTGCTCATTGCATGTACTTCCCCTTTACAACCTTTCAATTGCAAGTTGCTTTGGAATGGTTTTGCAGGTGTCTTGGCGCCTTAACTAATTTTACATAAATATTCTTCAGCGAGCTTTATAAAATTACTGAGAAAGTACGAACGCCCTGATTGGTCAAAACGATATTTCTTGCATTGGTATAAACCATTGACTCTTGTTTTGTTTCAAGTTCAATTTACAAAGCGATAGACGGCACTTTAATTGTAATATGATCTACATAAAACACGATTTATATTGTAGACAATTTGTTCGGCACAAATCAAAACAATTTGTCAGTTTTGTGTGATAACAGCTAAAATAATAATAATTTCCGTGTACAATATGTGTTAATGAAAACAATAAAATTTTATATCTGTGGTAGGCAGAGGCCTGTCACTTTTGTTTGTTCTAGTAGTTTGTTTAATAAGGAGTGGATTACATGAGTTGACTGTTTGCTAAGATGGCATTGTATGGGTTGGCCAGCGTGACTCATGCAATCAGCCCTTAGGTGGATGAACCCAGACAATCGGCTACCCTCAGGGAATTGGCAAATGGCCACTCAATAGGGTTTTTTTTTGTTTGACGTCAATGCAAATTTATAGCAAATGAACAGCTTTGCTCAATTAGCAAATTAGAGTACATTAAGTGCAAAGGTACTTATTTCCATGGTAAATAAATGAGTGGGTAGAAAAATGTCGCAAACAAACTGTTTTGCACCATGTTTACTTGTAGTTGCATCAATAGTAAATATGTCACTTTTGCGCAGAAAGCAAATGCTTAAAAAATATGTTTAAGCTCAAGTTTACCTTGGCAGCAAATGTAAGGTAACTGTTAAGCAAATGTCATATCTACATCACATTTGCATGTAATTTTGTCAGGAACAAATGCTTGAGTTTATCTTCAGTTTACAGCTAGCGCAAATTTAGTTCAAATTTAGAGCCTCAAATTTGCACCACATTTGCACACCTTGACAAACACTAGTAAATCCGAAAAAGACAAGACAAGAAATAATACTAATCTACAATCGTGTTTTGGTAGATGGAACAGAGCAGGACAATCAGTTGTGAGGCTAACGAGACTGAATTGGGTGTGAAAGTCCTTGCTGAGGCTTCAGAGGGAGGAGATCCAAGGGATGTTCAAAGTTCTGACAACAACACTGAGAAAAACCAGCGTAAAAATGAACATCAATTTTGTCTTGATGTAGGGACTAAAACAGAAGGATGTAAGGGAGAATCGAGAGCCCCTGAGTGCAATGAGCCTCATTCTGATGAAGAGGCTGTCACAACGCCTCATTCTGATGATGAGGCTCACTATGACAGAGGCTGGGCCTGGGTAGTATGTGCTACAGCAGCCTTGATGGAGTTCTTCGTCGGGGGATTGATAACAAGCTCTGGAGTGATATATGCGGCTTTAATTGAAGAATTCGACAAATCAAGAGTAGAAACTGGTAATTTACTTTGCACTATTTGATAACGGACAATTACGTGCTCATAGGAGTTTGAACTCTAGAACTGAAACACCTCACAATTTAACGATTACAATTCATTTCGTTAAGCGTCCTCAGTTTTCTTTTGTCTTTTACGATTCTCTCAATGAAAATCAGTTGACATGCTTGATCATAGATATCTAAAGATATTGTAATTTTCTGAGAAGCTTCTCGTAGATATTTGGATAAAAAAAATCGATTAAAACATCCTTCTCACTACAAATCTATGAATCCACGAATTCAATCAATTTTTTTTCTTTATAGCCTGGGTGAGCGCCTTAGCTGTTTCCACTTACTACGGCTTCTTCCCGCTCGGCACCGTTCTTAGCGAGCGCTTTGGATGCTGGGTAGTTGCCTTACTGGGTTGCCTGGCCTGCTCCATCGGTTTGTTTATATCCTCCTTTGTCACTAGTCTCCCATTGTTGTACCTCACCTACAGCTTCCTTTGGGGCCTGGGCGCCTCTTTAGTCTACTTCGCCGACCTGTTGATACTCACTAGGTACTTCAAAGCGAGGCTTGCATTCGCTAATGGACTCATAGCCCTTGGTGGTGCTATCGGCGGAAGTGTATTGAGTCCCAGCATGCAACAGATGCTTATTTACATTGGATTGGCAAATATGTTTCGCGTGCTTGCAGGCGCGTATCTTCTCCTCTCAGTCTTTTCACTTGTCTATCGCCCGAAGCGTAGAGTTTTGCCTCATCAGAATGATGTCATAACTACGTTTGTTAAGAAGAGGCGTCTTTTTGACTGGGGAATTTTAAAAAACAAAGCATTCTTAATGTGGATCGTGGTTGTTTCCATCTTCATGCTTGGATACATGGTCCCCTTTGTACACTTGGTGAGATTTTAAACCTTATTTGTATTTGTCTGTAGTTATAACCATTTGGTTTTGTTACACAACATAAATTTTTATAAGCGGAGTTCGACTTGCAGTTCGTTGAATTGCAATCGCTCCCATTTAAGAAAACCACTCTTCGTCCTTTGTATCTTCACACCAATTATGAACTACTTGAGAATTTTACAGGAGTTACTTAAATTCAATCTTTATTTTCCTTTTCAAAGGTGCGCCTTGCCGAAGACATCGGAATCGACAAGACACGAGCCTCTCTTCTTCTAACGTTCGTGACAGTTGGATCGGCATTCGGTCGTGTTATCGTCGGGCGCTTATCGGATATCCGACGTTTCAATCGCGTGTACATCGTTCAGTTAGCGTTCCTAGTCATGGGATTCAGCAACTTTATGGTACCATTCACTGAATCTTACCCCATTTTAGCTATAAATGCGTTCATATTTGGATTATTTGCCGGAGCTTATCTGATCCTCAATCCTGTGATCGTATGCGACATTCTTGGTCCGGACAAAGTGTCGTACGGCTTAGGAATGTCCTTCTTGTTGTTGTCTGTACCTCGCACACTTGGACCACTGATTGCTGGGATAATTTATGATGGACTGCAGAGCTATGCAATTGCTTTTTACATCCTCGGAGGCACGACTTGCCTATCAGCCATCTTGGTTACCTTTGTTTCAATCTTGATTCGAAGAAAAGTTGACGATAAAAGTGAGGGTTGTAAAAACAATGAGCCTGCGGTATAAACTGACCGCTGACAGGAGTATTAAGATTAATTTGTGCCTACCGCGGGCTATCCGCTTGGTCAGCGGGGTATCTAAGTACACTCCGATGAATACTGATGATAAAGTATCATTTGTATTGGTTCAACCCGATATGGTCCAAATATCACGGAGAAAACAAACAACAGGTTTTTGGTTGAGTTGATTAATATACAGTATAGCCAAACCTCAAACTGGCATGAAAAAGTAAATGGCGAAGTAAATTGAAAGATACAGCGCATATGCCAAAGGAAAGAGTTTCCTGCAGTGTCTATCGATCTTACACGGCTTTAGTTTAGGAAAAAAGACTGGATTGTTTGAAAACCTTGCATTGCCTGTTCGCCTCTTAATTGAAAACCACGGTGTTGTAGACATTGCCAATGTTGGGATGAAGCTCGTTGAGTAGTTCGAATTTTCGTCGCGATAATGTTTTTCCTATAAAAGAAAGAGACCGCAGATGAAAATCAGGTCTGAATATTAAAAAAATATTTGCGCGCTGTTCTAGAATAGCCCCCCCCCCCCCGCATCCGCCATAAAAAAATAGCTTTTTAAATAATTGTTACATGCTTAAAGTTTTTTTTGCTGAGCCTTCGCGTAGATAAATGAATTAATTTGCACGCAAGTAAAGATTTTTTTCTGTTATTACTCAAAATGCCAGGACTTGAGAAGTAGATTGTGTGAACTGAGAACTATATATTACAACTTGATTTGATTTATCCTATTTTTTTCTGACCTGTACTCACCGTAATCCCGTCTCTTTTGGTGTCAAAAACTTGTCGAAACGTGCCACTTTCTTGATAATTTTTTTCCACGTCATTCATTTCCTCAAAAATCACAGATGGTTTCTCATATGATGCAACCTGTTTTTCCTTTGGCCTTCTCTCTCTTTTCGACGAAGATGCATTCGCAAATGAGCAGATCACTGCAAACTCCAATAAAGCAGCGAACACAAAAAGGAAACTGCCCAAGATGAACACATCGATTGCTTTCACGTAACCAACTCTCGGCAGGCTCGACTGAATACCGAACATTAGCGTAGTTATGGAGAGGACTGTTGTGATTCCGAGCGATACCCGTGCCGGAACCGAACGTTCATCGATCCAGAAACCAACCCAGCTCAGAGCTACAATAAGTACTGTGGGGATGAATTGTTGAAGAATGTAATAGCCAATTTGTCTCTGAAGGTGGAATCTAGCTAACAAGGTCGAAAAATTACCTGGAAAAAAAAACGGTTTTGAAAAAATCGAAGTGTTGATCATAAACAAATTTCAGTCTTTATGTTATTTTTTTTTTATTTTCAGCTTCTCACAATGCATACAATGAAGAATCATCATAAAATTTAATTCGGCTCCTTCTCTTACCCCCCCTAGAATCACTGTCTTAGGATGATTAACCTTAAGGGTTGCTCGACTCATTTTCTTGGGTTTTGCTTTCGTGAAGGAATTCCATAGGTTTGCGCATGTGTGAAAATGTGATAAAATATTCAGATCTCCGTCATAAATTCTTCCCACATCCCCTCTGTTTACCCATGCAATGGATTGAAAAACAGCACAATCCCAGCCATCCAGCTGTTGCATTTTACCTGTGCTATACTCATGACTTTTCATGGAGATTTCTATTTTCTTTAGAGTGTATTGAGGAATCTGTAGTTCCCCTGACACACCGATCGAATCTTTACCACCAGTTAGCCAAGATAAGATCATATCTTCTGTGGAGTAAGAATCTGAAATCACAAGAAATATTATAGAGACTTACCTCCTAGTTTCATCTCTCTTAATCTAAATCATCTTTTTCCCTCCAAAGTACCCAAAGTGAAAAGCTGGCAATTAAAACTTTACTCGATTCTGATGATGACTTCTGCACAAGGTTTTGAAACGTCAGCCACTTTTACCGACAGCAGTCCTCCTCAAGACTACTCTTACCTGGACGATCAGACTACGCCATCAAATATTACTCCCGCCTTCAAAACATTGAGGGTGACTGGAACTAGTATTAATATTACCCTTTCGTATTAAGTAACCAAGTAGTGGTTTATTGCAAATGCTGCAAGGTGATTGGCTACGCCACTCGACATCTTTCTGATAGTGAGTCACATAGCTGCATGCAATTTTGGTTATCTCTCAAGTCCATACTCACAACTTTCAAAGATCATTTCACAGACTTGTTCATCCATTGGAAATTTTCGCAAATTCATCGGACAGTATAAACTTAGTTTGAGTCTAAAGAAAATCAAAAGTAAAGAAAATGTGATAATGAGCCATACATATACGTTCGACTCTACTGTGTGTTATTAAGGTAAAATGCTTTTCGTAATCCTGTCATATATTACAGTCAAACAGCTTAAATATCAACGCAGGGGTGTTTTTCTATATGAACCATACTATTTTGGTCTGTAGATGACTTAAGGACATCCGAGCTTTTAACTCCACAAACCGGCTGTACCCGAACTAGGGAGTCAATTTAGGTATTAAAAAGGTGCAAACAACAAGAGGACTTAAACTAACCTGCAACTATGCGTGATGACACCTTCTTGTGAGAGTTCAAACATAAAATCTGCGCAGGATGTCTTTTGGGTCAAATCGTTGACAAAATACGTGTCTGGAATCCACACCTGGTCCACAATGTTCCCACTCAGCTTCATTTTAGGCATTCCAAGAGAGGGACCATAAGCCAAACGAGGGTCGAGCCAATGCTGACGAAAAAACATCACAAATGTCGCCTCCTACGTTCATATGAAAATAAAAAACAGCCACATGAACTATACATGAAACATTTCAGAATCTGTTAATACGAGGCAACTAAAGTTAAACGATAAGTTTGTATAACTTTACTTTATATTCATCCGATAGGTTAACACTCTCCTCCCCTCTCCAGTAAGAGGTGTTTATGAGGTGGAATATTCCCTAGTCGAACGAACACAGTTCCTCTCAAGATAATCCCTGTTCTTGTGTTTTTTGGTTCCAATTTGTGCCCCCTTCCCCCTGAATATTCAATTTATTCACAAGATTTGTTCTTGATTACCCCAGTTCAACTAAAGCCAGGCTTTGCATGCGACAAAAACTGATATCTCTGATCTATTCAGGAACCTTCATTGTTTATCGCCAAAGTGGGACGGGGGGAATTATTGGTTGTGTCACAATAAAGGTTATCTGTTCTTCCTAAGGCTCTGTACTATTCTAATGCTCCCCGCTCATTGGCAGTTTTCTATCGCTCCCCTCCCCCCCTTTTATACTCTGTTAGCGACGACTGATTCCCCTTCCGTCCCTCACTAAAAAGCGTGTGATCACACCGAGAGTCCTTCAACCTCCCACCCCCAGACCCTCCCGGCCCCCTGGCGATAAGTAATGACCGATCCGCCTTTTTAATTATTTGGAATCCTCCGTGACTTATTTGAGTAAACAATAGTCGTACGCAGGGTTTCGATAGAGATATTTTGACCGTTGAATACAAAAGTCCAGTATTCTCCGGTGACTCTCATCAGTCTGCTGGGAGAGAAAAAGAGTTATGAGCTTTTTTTGTAAACCAAGCCACGTTCGCCACATAGAACTTACCATATCAATCTCTCTGATTGGCACCATTGACAAAACATGCATAGAAATGTTGACTTTGCATGGAGGACCTTCGAAAGAAAGTGTTAGGAGTTGTGATAATCATCGTATTTTATTTACACCCTAAAATCAATGTGCTTAATCTCCACATTGTTCCAAATTAATTTCCTGTGATACTGAAAAGGAGACAAGATGTTTCAAAACCAAGAACTTTTTTCCTTCTTAATCATTTTCTTTATTCTTATAACCTCGATTTTGATTCAGCGATGAAATTGTTGGGAGAAAATGGATGCCTACCACTCTTAGCGATCAAAGAGTTAATTGATACTGCAAACACTTGATTGAACCTTTCTAAATTTTTAACTTCATCTATCAACTATTTTCTTGGCTTCGCTGATTCATAATCATGAAAACTGCAAGCAGCTGGTTGCATTATGAAGCACAATAATGTGAATTCATTCACGTTCCGAGCTAATTGCTGTTTTAGGTGGTATGTTTTAAAAAAGATGCGGTTAAAGACATATTTTATCTTGAATAAAGATGAAGTGATTTATGTAGATATTAATTCAATTTTGTGATAATTCATTAAAACGTAATTTGAGAAAATCCGTGAACTAGTTTGAATCTGAGCCTGACCTGAAAAAAAAACTACGCAAATGAAAATGTCCTAAGTTTCTTGCTTAGAGTTTAAAATTTGATTCAAATCTTTCCCAGCCTATAACAGGACGAAACATGCACAGCAAAACGTGAACTTTTACAAAATCATTACCCGGGCCAATTTTATTTTATTTTCTTAATAGGGAGGCTTTTAATAGTGAGACATTTTCATGGTTAATTGAAACAAAAAGTGCCTGATTTAAACCTGGTTGTCCTCTGACCGCATAAATGATATTCACAGTTTATGACTACTTTCTCAGTATAACTACATAACCTTTTACCTCCAAAATTGGGTCGCAGCCGTTTGTCGTATCCCTCAAACAACGTTTTCAAAACCAATGTCGTGCGAGTGTTATTGCTGAAATGAAATTATTCGGTTTTGGCAAGATAATTCACGAAAAGTAGTGTATTTGATTCATCACTGACGTTCTCTTTATTCTGTGGGCTGTGTATTTCACCATTAAACAGGGGTTTTTATCATTGAACGAGATCTCAAGCGACCAGCAAGGCTAACAATTAAGCGCTATTGTCTTAATCACCTGCTCTGGTTTTATCTGTTTTTCTCAATTTCAGTTGAAGATAGGGGATAGAAGAGCATGAAAACGCAAGCCAGAAAAGTTTACATCATACAAAATAGATACTTGTGTTGTTAGATATTAAATATTAAATGCTTTAAAGATGGTCCACAATTTAGCCGCATTAGAGCTACAGGAGCAAACCCACACGAATTTTCACGCAGCCCAATAATTTTATCCTGAGATAATAAATGTTTTAGCGGCTCTTTTGATTAGCATAAATAATTTGAGACTAACCCTCAGCTGCAGATGATAATAGATGAAGGTTTTAGAGAGAAATATGATCGTAAAGTTGATAAACATTTTGAATATCTTGTATTCAACTTCTTTTTTAAGTACACAATAGGAAAACTTGAGATTTTGAAATAAAATAACTCCTCAACGTGGATTTTCGTGTCAAGTTTTGGTAAAAGTTAAACTACGGTTTTAGTTTGAGAGCAGTGAGCGTTCTCAATTTGCAATGGTCAGAAAAGAACTTACACATCTAGCTTTCAAAAAGACTCCTCTTCACTAACTTAAAACCAAATATCGTTTAGAACTACTTCAAGTGATTTTGATAATAGCTCGACCAACTTTTTTTTGCCCAAACTCATTCAGAACAAGAAGAGACAACTACAACCTCAAGAGAAGCTAAATTTCATTCATTGACACTTAAATAAAACTTACCTGTCTGCGTTATAAACTGCGTGTGAAATTAGGAACTCCTCAGCAAGGGTCAGGCCGACAAAAAGAATCGATGAAAACATTCTTGCAAAGATGCCAAAGTACAACTTTTACAGAAACGCAGCTTTTTCAAACCTTCAGTTATGCTCTCGAACCTTCTGTGTTGTTTGAAGTTCATGCGAGTTTCTTTTTGTTTGTTTTTCATTCATTAGCGATCGTGCTGCTATATACTTTGCATAAAAGATCAGCTTAACAATTGTAATTGTTGCTAGGGATTTTTCACGGGCGGAGCTGTAAAGCAATAAAGCGTTCTTATGGATGAATTGTACGAGTTTTATGAGAGTCATTAATTACAGTCACCGTTTTAGTATCAGAAACTTTCCGTCTTTCCGTTTTTACCAGAGAACTGGATGGACAAACACCGTTCAACCTCAATTTCTTGCTTGATAACAACAGTTAAAGTTGTTTTTTTTAGCTAAAAATATAATTAGATTGAAACTGAAATGAAAATGAAAATAACAAGTTTTTATTAAATTGTTCAACCTGCATTAGCAGCTGAAATAGGGTCAGCCTGCTGTTATCGAAAGCAATTTGCCCAAGTGATTGTAGAATGTCTCAGCGCTTGAATGTAATTAATCCATGAATTTTTGTTAGTCTCCTCTCGATTCTAATAATATCACAGTTGGAAAATGACAGTTTTTATGCTTGGAGAGATTTCTCGTCAATCGTAGCCACAAAAGAAAACTCTGAGGAGGTTTACATCCGGGATATCCGTCAGTAAAAAAGGAAATTCGCAACTCCGTTGCGCGTTTTTTGAAAGGAATAATAAAGAAAAAGAAATGAATTTCATGGCGCTACGATTAATTGCTTTAATCGGTCATTTCCGAGTCTAAAAAGCCTACAACTTCAGATTGAGGCCAGGTGTGGGAACTTTTCTAATAAATTGACTTATTTTCAAGATTATTACAACCCAATTTCTCAGCCTAGGGCTCAGGCTGGGAACGCGGTGTTATGTTTAGATTGTGTGGATAAATATGAAGAAGTTGGGGAGTTTCAGTATTGAATTTTGTTTGTTTCCTGCTAATAGATAAACCTCATGCATTTTTTTGTTCTCGTTTCTTTACAATTCCTTTCATCTTCTTTCTCTTCAGTTTTTTGCTGTTAATAAAAGACTGTTTCAAAATTTGTTGTGAGCGCAAGAATGCCCTACTGATTCAATGGATCCTTTTGACCGTTGCTCTCCATCGAGTTTAGTTCATCAGTGATTAATTAGTTCACGAGAAATTTGTCAACTTTTCAATAAATCTACTGCACTTTCAAGATCGTTCTTTTCGATTCTAAAGAATGACATGTTTGTCTCCATTAAATTGAGGGAGACAAACATATTTAATATATACATATTTAAATAAACAGATTTAATTTTAAGCTAACTTCTTCCTTAAATTCTCAGGCCATGAGATTTGTTGGAATTTATGGAGTACAATCTGTTCAGAGGATTTTTTTAACTTTTTTGATCGGCTTACAGGCTAATGTTTTTAGCGGGTGGCTAACAGGTCACGGGTTGCGAATCTTATTCAAATAAGACCTTATGATTGATTCAAAAGCTCATTCTTATCTAAGGAATGAGGCTTTGTCTGCCTAATTTATCCCAAAATCACACAAGAACGACAAAAAAATGTTCAAAGGCAACCAGGTATTTACAGATAGTCGCACACTTTTCTACTATGAATTTTTGGGAGTTTGAGTATCCATTTTTTTTACACAACATTTTGATAATTAGGAGCTCTAACTGTGTTAAGTCTGTTGATAAATCGATGTTTTGTTCTGTTTGAAAGGGTATCTTCAGATACATAGTAAATCGGTGAAGTATTTCTGGTGTTTGGTTTTTTGACGTTGCTTCAAGGCATATCAAACAGAAAATGTTGCCAAGATCGAGGCAGTTTTACCAGTCAGTTGCGTTATATTTGACACAAAACCCGTCAATATTTACATATACTACCCTAACCTTGACACGAAACCTTTTCTTTACCATGACTACCTGAACTTTTTTTTACTTTTAATACGCTTTGAAATAATCATACATGGATATAAAGTTGTTATTGTTGGTCATAAGTGCACTCATTTCTATCTGGCGTGTCTATGAATCCCTACGGTGCTTTAAGTGTTTTGGTTAAAAAGTATAAACTACCTAATTCTATAAAAAATTCATATTTAGCCGGTTCGATTTTGAAATAGGAGAAAATTTAATTTCACTTCACTTGATTCAAATAGTCGAACGCGCTATGTGATAATGTAGATATCGTTCTTTTCATAAATTTTACAGCCTGCCTCGTTCTACAGGATCACAAAATTTATAGCAAGTTCGCTTAAATATCTTTGATTCAGTGGGGTATGATCCATTATTTTTTCTTGAAAAATTGTTTTATTTTCACCGCTGTGGGGAACTGTGGCATGTGGACCAGAGTAACTCTTGAAAAGAAAAAGGATGAGGAAGATAAGAAATTGTGGCTGCTCATGTGTTACTACAAGATAATTTGGTTTCATCAACTGAGTTGATAACGTGCGAGAGTTTTCCACCATAAAAATATTCTAAAGCTGACGTTTCGGGCGTTAGCCCTTCGTCGGAGCGCGCGAATGACGAAGGTCTAACAAAGGCGGACTCCGACGAAGGACTTTCACTCGAAATGTGAGCCTTATGAACTCTTTACGGCGGCAAATTTACATTATCAACTCAGCTGATGAGACCAAGTTGTCCTGTTCTACCCTCTACCGACGCAGCGGCAGAGTTACAACTTTGGAAACTTGCCCCCTTTATTCAGTTGTCGTTGACCAAACCCTGTTTAACCTAAAGAGGGACCAGACGATTCGAAAGATGTCAAAAAGAAGTTGATAATTGTTTTATACCTTTTGTTCTGATTTGAGTCATGCGCAGATGTGGACGTAATCTTACCGGTGTGACTTCCTCAGTCAACAATTGAGAATCAAGTTGAGAATCCTTCGCAGATCAGATCCTTTTGATTGACAGAGAGCTCAGTCTGCTCTTAAGGATTGATTAAAATCACACAAGGAAGAAAGTAAAAGTCCCCATGTAACGAGGTATTTACTACTAAAAAGATACATTTATACTGTGAGTTTTAAAGGATCACTGGTACCCTGGTGTTAAGTGCTGGTACCGTTTAAGAACACATCTGGCAGACGTTCAAACAACAGTTTTTGAAGGTTGCCCCTCCATATCAAACAAAAACGTTTCCAACATCGATAAAACTGTGCAAATTAGCAGTAACTTATTTCAGGCAAAGCCTGTTCATATTTATAAATTCTACTCTAAATTTGACATGAAACCTTTCATTCATGTTTATCACCCTTTAGCAACAATGAAACGTTTTATTATCCACATATTTTCTTTGAGATTATTGAAGGAGTGATGTTGAACTCTTACTGTAAATCATGAGTGTCCTCCTCCTACTAATTTTCTGTTCTACCAATCCTCCAAATTATTTCAAACATTTGGTTTAAGAATGTAATAGCAGTGAGTAAATAGAGAAATAATTCTTATTATTCAGTGAAGTTCACTATGAGCGAGAATTGGACTTACTTGATTAGAGACAATGATAGCTTTGTTGAAAGGAAGCAAAAAGAAGTTACGAAAAATTAAAGTAGTGATTATTGAGCACGTTACTGTACAATCTAGACATCTTTCTCCAAATACTTTTACAACCTTTCAGCGTAATTATAGAGTTAAAATATCCTTGCTTCAGTTCGTTAAGACTGATTAATTTCCCGTAGCCAATTATTTTATTTTCCTGCCATTAGAGGAGATATTGCACGTATGGTGAAGCGATACTTGGTTTGAAGATTTATGGGGTGTTTAAGGTTTCTCAGTTGTCATTAAACAAACCCTGTTTTCGCCGTAAAAGGATTTAAGGGATTAAAAAACTCTTAAAAAAATACGTTCATAAATTAATTGTATCTTTTCGTTCCAGTATGTGTCATACGCAGATACAGCCATTGTAGAATGACTACCTCTGGTGTGGCGTTCTCAGGTGGTGGTATTCGGTCAGCGGCACTATGCTCCGGTGTGCTGCGCAGACTACTTCAAAAAGAGACTATTCCAGACTTCCTCAGCTGTACTTCAGGGGGCGGTTACACAGGCACAGCTTATCTGGACTGGAAATACCGGAATGAGCAGAAAGACAATCCAAAATGGCATCGGGAATTCTTCGCAAACATGCGCAGAAGAGTCGGAATTATTTGTGACTGGCAGAAACCTCTGCAGGGGATCTTAGATACCTTTACACTTCTCTTTCTTCTCATATTAGTGGTAATCATTCTTCCAGTCTCCAACTGGTCTGGTTTTGCTTTTCCTGTTGCTTTAATCATTGATTGCTTCTTCGGTTATTTGATGAGAATTCCTTTTACCTGCCCCGATGAAGAAAAACACAATTTCACCAAAGCTGAACTTGTGGAAAATCCCGCAGCCTCCGTGCTTTTCAATATGACAGAAGCAGTCGAATGCGTCCCCAAATTCGGCCCTGAAATGTTCTCTACGATCATTACGTTTGCTCTCCTTTTTTTGTTGTTTCTTTTCTTCCTTGTCATCAAAAAAGTGGTGGGTCCATCTTTAAAACCGTTTGCCAGCTTCCTGTCAAACTTCTCAGGGTTCGTGTTTGCGATGGTTTTTTTCCCGTGGTTCATAGAAGAGTTTGTGGTTGTGACTCCCTATTGGCTGAATGCTATGATTTTAGTTCTGAGCATTTTTTTATGGCTTGGTATACCACCGCTCAGAAACAAAGCTTCTTTAGCAGTGGCTGTCTATTGTTATGCATACGCTGTTAAGTGGAGAGTCTATAAAACAGAAGTCCTTTCTGTAAAATACGACGAAGTTACATTTTATATCCTAGTATGGATCTCTGGAGTATTAATCTGGATCCATCCTTTACTGGGTGTATTTCAAAGAAGTGCTCTCCATGCTTACAACAGGTATTGACGATAGTAATTATAGTAACGTTAACGACGATAGTGACGATGAAATGACGTTGACAATGACTGTGACGATGACAATAACAACAAAGACGATAATGATGACGATGGCAATAACGATGATGATGATAATAATGATACTTGTGGTGAAACTGATAATTTAAAGATGAATTTTAGTTTATCAAATTGTCTTGATGGTGCATTTTTGTTGTGTATTAGAGTTTGATATACCACTATAGAGTAACCCGTGAATCAGACCAAGTGCTCTACACAACTACTTTATTAGAATGCCATGAACTTATTTATAAGCAATGATATATAAGGAAAATCACGTGACTGCGGTCAAGTGTGTGCTAATCAATAAAATAAAGATTATTTAATAGCTAAGTAAAGGTATTTATATCCAAATATAGGAAGAAACACTACACTTCTTTCGTCAATTCAAAAGTAAAACCTCTGAGATACGATGAAACGCCATGGAAAAATAGTAAAACAATAGCAATATACCAACCAAAATGTCACTTTCGTTCATAAGGTATCTTTCGTTTAGATCATCCCATGCAAGAGAAGACCACAAGGGCTCAAATATTTTTATGTATTTCTTGTTGTCAAAATACGTCATAGACTAAAAAAGTGTTAAACTAGAACATGCTAGACAATTTGAAGAGATTTCACCGCTTCTTCAGCCTATTTCAGAGTGATACACCATTTTGGTTCACTACTTTATTGCATCGACTTTCTTTTGATTTCAAAACTGTTGACCATCTAGACTAGCTCTCTTCTTGTTCTTCTCTTTTTTGTGCGTTCGTACAAGTATCCTTTAAAAGAGAGGTCATCTTAAGTCAATTATTGAAATGATACTTGTCCTTTTCAAGGTGGCGACTCCAGAGAGCGTTTTACTCTCCCGAGACTACTTCGTCCACGTTTTGTTCCGGATTCACGTGTCAAGACTTCATTCCTTTGTTTACGTGCTGTTCACTTGCTGAGAGATTGAATCGACCTTTGACCCTTGACGATCTGGCTGGCATTTCACCTGAATACATCTGCAATACGACTGTCCATGAATGGAGAGTTCCCTCTTCACATAGGTAATAAGAATTCAACCAATTTATCTTAATAAATAATACATGAAAGATTAAAACAGGAGTGTTAGTGACTAAATGTCAAAATTTTCACTTGAAAAAGGATTTGAATTAGGCTCACTGATTTCTTGATGCTTTGAATGTTAGGATGAAAGTTACCACTTTAACATTTCCTCAGGTTTCAAACGCGGCCTGAACTCAAGATCGGGTGTGGTCTTGTATGATCTTGCATAATCTTAACCGTGAAATCATTGTCTTCGCGGAACAATATTGTCGCTGTGATCAGTCGCAAGAATTCAAGCTAGTTTTATGCCGGTAGACACTAAAAGCGACTTGTAGAGGACCTGTCCTGAGAAGTGCTGGCCGGTATTCACTTCTCAGAATTTGATAAAACTGATTCCCTTTTTCCTGAACTCTCCCTCCAAGAAAACGGTCCACGTCTTATGGAAATTATGTTTTGTTTCTCCACTAGAGGATCTTCGTACGAGCTATTTACTATGGCGCCCTCCAGAATTGAAAGAATTGACAATACACGGGGAGCAAAACAGTTCGAAAGCAGGCTCCATCCTGCAGATATTAAGTTAGTAGATGCCATGGCAACTTCAGCAGCTGTAGTGTCGTATCGAATGGGGGAGTACACCCTTCAACAATTACAGAACTTACAGATTATGCTTGGAATAGGGATGGGGGCAGCTATTAAAACTGAATCCAGATGTCGGGGATGCTTTTCAAGGGTATGTTACAGTTTATACTGGTAAACATAATTCACTAAACGTGATATCCATAGTAAGTCAGTTAAACAAATAAGTAAATGAAGCGGTCGTTGGACATTAATGATCAAGGTCAAGGAAGAAGGTGAACATCCAGCGATTTCTTCCCCTCAACAAATTAAGAAAAAAGGATCTGTAATGATTTAGAGACTGTCGGGTAAAGAGGGTTTTACCCTTAGAAAAAGATATATTTTTAAACAAGCCTTACAATTTTAATTGACTTTGGAAGAATGATCCTTGAGCAGCAAATGATTGACCAGCATTCTCTTTCCTTCCAATTGTTCCCAGTTTCTCGCTGTTCTCACTCATCTTGTTCTGGCACTTCCCATATTGTTGCTACCTTTGATACCAATCCTGGGCGGAAGTGAGGTCTGGAACGAGAGAGCCGTCATCTTCTTTCTCGTGTTCTTCTGCGTGTCGACGTTGATTGCCGTCATGCCCACGGGCGCTGAAAATCCCAGATGCTGGGAACATTTTGTAAGGTATTGTTAACCTGACCAAAAAAAAAAAAAAAAACCTGAGTTGTTTCAAGCTTTTCGAGATCATCCAGGCTCGGAATACTAACGAATAGGGGGAGAGAAATTGTCTATGATATGTGGAACTTGAGCTTAGTGGCAAACTGTTCGCATGGTGACATAAAGGAATGTTAATCGACTAGAATAAGCGAAAAATCTTGAAAATATTTTTTGAGTCGCCCATAAAACGCTTCACATTGTTACTTACAATTATATATTACGGTACAATGCTTATCAAACATGACAATCTATGAGAAGCCAACACTTAATTTGTACACTTCTTTTTCTGTAGGTGGTGTATCGTCAACGTGTATCATGTCAGGGTCATCCGGGAACTTTTGAGGGTAGACAATGTCGGTCCCACTCCCCCTTCAATTCTTTACCTGAGTGACGGAGGCCATATTGAAAACCTGGCCCTTTTATCTTTACTGAAACGGAGGTTAAAGAAGATCCTGGTGGTCGATGGGGGAATTGTAGAAAAGGATTCGGGAGTAGCAAGAGATCTGCTCATTTCCCTGGAACAGGCTCGACAAAAACTACGATGTTCATTCTTAGGAATGGATGGAAGAGATGTAATCGAAGACATCAGAGCAAAGGTAATCGATAAGCCAATGGGAAAGAGACCGAGGAGTTATCAATTTAAAGTGGAGTATTACGATTTGAACGAAGATGGGGAAGAACAGAAAGTTGGTGACGGAAAAGTGCTTTATATTCTTCCACGTCACCCAAATGATGGCCTCCCGGGAGGGCGAAAGAGCTGGGACGAGTTGAATGATCACTTTAAAACCGATATCGAGTCTGGCCTATGGGGGACTGGACCTGATTTGGAACCAGAAGAGGTGGAGCGCCTGACGTTTTGCCTCTTTGAATGCTGTCATTGCTCTATTTTGAAATGTTTATCAAGTTCTCTTTGTGGTAAATTCCCGTATCATTCTACAGTCAATCAGTTCTTCACGCCTGCCCAATTTTCAGCGTATCATCGGGAGGGCTATCGCGCCTGTATGGAGGCCCGCGCCACCGAGTTTCTAAAAGGATCTAAGGAAATCTCAGAAGAATAGGAACTTGAAGTTAAAATTATTATTATCTAAAGTGGTACTAAGACAGAATATAGTTTGTAAGCAATACCTAAAGGAACAAGTGTATTTTCTAACGAGAAATATACATGGTGAAGAGATGGATGTACAAAATGATTTTCGTTCTGTACGACGTATTCAGCACGCTATTTTAAAATGTTCATATGCGGCATCTAAGATTTCATACGAGTAAAAATTAATAATGAAAGACGCGATATGCATAGTAATGAGTGTTCTGAAAATTTTGACTGAGCGCTATGACGATAATTTGACAAATCTTTGACTGTTTCTTAAATTCTCTGTTTTCTGTATATATTCAGAATAGACACGTCTTTTCATGGAGTTGATTGCCGGAGCGGAAAGAAAAGCTTCACGAAGAATGTTTCCATTGCATACATCTGCCAATTATTTCAGCTCCTCCTAAACCGATCTCTTACTTATTGATGAAACCTATGATGTTGATTTGACGTTATCAACTGAGTTAATAATGTAAATTCGCCACCGAAGAGGATTTCTAGAAGCTCTCTGCGGTGGCTTACTGAATTAACATTATCAACTCAGTTCATAAAACTAATTAAATTATCTCGTTTTCCCCCTTTCTATGCAGCGACACAACTTTTTTCAGAAAGCTACCCTCTTTATTCATATGATGTTAAGCTGGTAATTCAATGGTTTTAGAGAACTGGCCGATGTGAACGGATGGCCGATGTGAATTTTTCTCGCGTAGCGGCGATCGACTGAGTGTAAAGGTTACAAAGGAAAAGCCGGTAATAGAAATATCAGTCAATTATTGATAAAATTATTGTTTGGAGATGAGGAAGGAAGGAAGGCCTAAACGCATCTAGGTGGCCCAAATGAGTTTTATAGTTGTTTTCATCTTTGCAGGCACTCTTTAAGATTATTTGATTACCCTTTTTTATTTGTTTCCTGAAAAAACAGGACAAATCCATAGTTTCAAACTTGAATATTGCTCAGAACCTACGACACATATTTTCAAGGAAAAAAGAATTATAGAAGTATGACTTTTTATGCTTTGCTGAAAAAAAATAGATTTTTTTCGGGGAAACAGAATTTTATTTGGAGGTATGGACTTGAAAAGCCAAAAATGATTTAAGTGCGTTTCTAAGAGACTGCGGTGTCGCTATGGTAACTCATCGCATTAAGGAAAAGGCATCTCTGTAACTGAAGATGAAAGGAAATTTGTGCTAGGCTATTATCAAAGCAAGACGCGGTAATTCCATTGTTGTATTGTTTCATCAAACATTGGCTGCTAGAAAAGGAAATTTTTCTATGCCTCTCTTAACTAAAACCGAAGTTTGTTGGCATTCAGCGCTCTCAGTAACTTTTTTTTAGAGGAGTAAAAAAGTTATCCTCTGAATGACAACTCTGTTTTTTTACAGAAATTAAAAATATAACAGGAAACCAGGTTCTGGTTTTATAATCTGTTTCAAACATAAAAGTGGTAAAAGGGTATTGATATTTGACCTTATTTGTTCCAGTTTTGTTCCGCTAAATACTATAAATTATAATGTTGCTCCAAGTAAATATGATCAGCAGAAGTTTATTCACCTCTTTATTAGGTCAGCTCTTGATCGCAACACGAAGAAAAGAAACGTTTATGTCAAATACTGGATCAGACAAGCACAGATCAGGTACTTTTCTTCCAATTAGATCAGTTACATTGAGATTAATCGATGGGGTTTATTTAATATAGGATTGGAATGATCTGTTATTGATAAAGGTTCGGGGGATGTAAAAAAAAAAAAAAAAAAAAAATTTACTGTTAATAATTCTTGGACATGACCACTATCAAATCTAAATAAAAAAAAATGAAAGCAATGTATTGGATATCTGCATGACTGCACGACTCTGTACTTCTGAAGTAAGTTAAAAAAAAAAAAAGACCCGAGCTGCTGTCGTGGGTAAAAGATGTGTGCGTGTTTTTCCCCTTTTTTAAGACTTGATTAACGAATTTATACAACGATAGATATTTTTAAACCAGTGAGTATCTGAAATAATATTGAACGTACACAGTGGTAGACAGTTAAGATTTCATTGTCAAATGCAGTCAGTCAAATCTCGAAGGAAGTGGATCCTAGATTCGAGTATAAGCGCATTGCTTCAGTGTTGTCTTCTTTCCGGCTAAGAATGACTGTTTAGAAACACCATGAGTTGAAAAAAGAGGTAAATTCTATTAAGTGCTCTAGATCCTCTTCATTAGATGTGTGTGGTTGGCTAAACTGGCGAGAAAAAAGATTCAAAACAATCAATCGCTGTTTTAATTTAGTAAAATGCATGCCATTAAGAAAAGTAAGATCAACGAGTTCTTTGATTCGATTCTTGAAATTTTCGTCTTCTGTGAATTTGTTACGAAAAAAAGAACTTTCGTGACGAGGAAAGTTTTAACACCTTAATCTAGTAAAGCAAGTGTCAGAGAGGGAAATGATAAAAATAACCACAACCAAAAGTGATCAGAAATGTTTCAAGCAAACCGAATTGGACCAGAACAAAACATGTTTCCAAAACGGATTGTATAAAACCTTTTTTGTCCTAATTAATGGCTGCAGCTGGCTGATATTTTCAAAAAGTGATAAACAAAAATAGCATGAAGTGTTATCGAAAAAATTGTTTTCGATGATTAACTTAGTTTCCTAATTTCAATTGGTTGTATTGGCTTCAAAATTATGTTTCCACCGGTCACTTTGTATCATGTAAAATCGACCCTTTTAAGTTGCTTCGAAATTATCACTTACGATGGTCTCAAAGATACCCAGTGAAGGTAAGGAAATTCATCAAGGAATTAAGTTATAATATATTAATTTATGTAATTTATTCAACCAAAATAATTTATTAAAAAAAAAAACTGGAGAATATTAATGACAAGACAGTAGCCAATTCATTGTCAATAAACTATGAACCATTATGAAGCGGTGAGCAGGTACTCGTTATCCCTACTTTATGGGTTTTTTTTGTGACGTTAATAACGTAGAAATCGTATTTTCCCCTTTTCCCGGGATGGGAAGTTAATCCATTGCAAGGTTACCAGTCAGCATTTTGTCAGATTTATCTGAAGTTCACGGGAATCCATTTATAATTCTGGATAGTGAGAAGTACTACCAGAGTTGAGTCTTTTCCGAAAAAATCTCAATGACCCGTCCAGGGCTTCATCTGGGACCTTGTGATCTAGAGTCCATTCCAGAAGCAACCATTCCTATATGTAAGATACATAATACATCAGATTTGTTAGACTTTCTAATGGGCCACACTTACCCAATTTTATCATCCAGGATCTTGTGATCTAGAGTCCATTTCAGTAGCAATCACTCTCCTTCGTAAGATTTATCAGATTTGTGAGACTTTCTGATAAACCACACTCACCAAATTTTTATTGAAACAATTTTAAGGAAACAAGAAAAATGGTGAACATGACTGAAAGTGAACACCGCCAGCCAACTACGACACTTTATTGCTCCAATGTACATGGGACGTACAATGTTGTATTTCTCGTAGCATTCAACATCATTCTGTCCGTCGTTGCATCACTGGGAAACTTCGTTATCCTCGTTGCCCTCCACAAAGAGTCTTCCCTTCATCCGCCATCAAAACTGTTGTATCGTTGCCTTGCCATCACTGATCTCATTGTTGGCTTCGTTTCTCAGCCTCTGTTTGCCACCCAGTTGCTTTTGGATATAAACGAACGGCCACATCTGTGCACCCGCCTTGGCAAGTGGGTGGATGAGATAAGTTTGGTTTTTAGCTTAGTATCTGGCGTGATAGTAACCGCCATAAGTGTGGACAGACTTCTCGCTCTGTTGCTGGGCCTGCGGTACAGACATGTTGTAACACTGATGCGAGTTGGTATAGCTGTAAGCTCTATTTGGCTATTGGGTGTAATTTGTGCATTTATTGATGCCTTCTGGCCTATTTTGGGTTCCATAATTATTGGATATGTCATTACTATAGTCACTCTGACTTGCTTGATAATTTCAGCTTATTGTTACACGAGGATCTTACTTCGTCTCCGCCATAATCAAGCTCAAATACAAGGCCACGTAGAGCAGCCAGCTGGACCCGGAATTCCACTGAATGTAGCCAGATATCGTAGGACTGTTTCTGCAGGGGTCTGGGTCCAGATAACGTTAGTCGCTTGTTATCTTCCCCGATCATTAGTGGGTCTTTTTGGGGCTCTTTTCTCTCTCAGTGCAGTGTCTATAACACTTGGTATAAGATGTACGACATCTCTTGTGTTCTTAAATTCGAGTCTGAACCCGTTCCTATATTGCTGGAAGATGAACGGAATAAGACAAGCAGTGAAGGATTTAATGAAACAGTATTGTTGTAAGTCAGATTAATTGGCGAAGCCACAAAGGTGAAGTTACAGTTTGCTGTCATAAATGGGAATTCAGTTTTCAGCGTTATAAGCCAGTCGACACTGGCTCGTTCGTCAACAGAAAATAATGGTACACAGTAGTCAAACAATAGCCTTCACTTGACAGACCTTACGCCTCTTAAATGCACCCATCCAATTCAGAGCAGAATACTTTGATGAATTTTAAACAGAGAGCTTTGTAACAGAAATTAAAGTTCTGAGTTTGAGCACAGAGAGAAGAGGTGGATAGTGTGTCGACTTACATGGTGTATTGTTTAGGTGATGAAAAAAAAAATTATATCATCATATAATTCAAGCTTTACTTGAAAAGAGGATAAGACTTAAAACTGAATAGAGAATATTAATATTATTTGTTTAGTTTAAACCAGTTGTAGAATAATATATGCAGGACACTAGTGATGGATGCAATAGTCTGTATTCAGTCTACAAATTACTAAGCGAGTAGTGTGCCGGTTAGTATTGATTATAAATAAAATAAAACGTTCCCCGAGAATGTGATGTACTTTTTGAGTCATTTGTGCTACCCCAGGTCGTCACTCAGCACACTTCCTTGGTGCACCCTGTTTTGGCTGTCGCATGAAGTTGACTCAACTACCAATCATAAAAAAGGTTTGCACCATTACTAATTAATAAGGAATCGAAGTAAAAACAGGAAACCGGCTTGAAGCGCGGGAAAACGCGAGTGAGCAGGTTGGAAATGGTTTTAGTTTTGCATTTGATTGGTTGAGTTGGTGGCACGAGTTTTTTCGACCAATCACAGAGCGAAGTAAAGCAAGATAACTAACAATATTGTAACTTAGTGAATACTGAAAGATTAGAGAGGAGAAGAGTAGAAAGGAAAAATGCTAATTAATTTGGCAACATGCCCGAAATCATCTTAAAAAGTAAAGATTTGAAAAGTATTTCAGAACGCACTCAAAGACTTTTGAGTGCGTTCAAAGACAAAGTTTTCTGAAAGCAGTATCTAGTTTCGAATCGCCTAGATGAAAAGAAAGATGCTTGCATGCAGTATTTTCAATGTAATTAAAGTTCGTTGTGATGTATATTGTTTAGCTTAATTTCAAAACTGGGTTGGTAATTCTAAGGGAAGACTGACAGGTGGCAGCCGCACTGGAGTTGCAGATAAGCTCTGACTAATTCACGTCTAATCTGCTCTCAATTCATCAGCAGCAGGTGAGTAAGTTAAAAGTTACTCAATTTGAGTTGAAAGCAGATTCTAGTGGAGAATAATTGCGCGCTGAATTCACGGTATTCTTACCAAAAGAATGTGAAGATTTACGCTATAAAAGTACCCGAAAATGAAACTTCGGATTTTCTAAACGTTTCAACAATTCTCCGTAACATAATTCAGTATTAGCAGTGCTAAATGACAGCTGTTTCATTTTCATCAGCACGATCTTAATTATAAAGGGCATAGACACAAAGCGCGGGGGCACCGTGCTGACAAAATTTGTTTGGTTCTTCCAACAATTTCGATAAAATTTGTTTACGCCAAATTTTCAAATTGTCACTTTAAGGTGTATTGAAAGACGGGAAAATAGTTGTTAACCACAAAGTGTCAATCACATGGATGCGCAAATTTAAAAGTACTAAGATCCGGAGATGCAGCCGAACGAACACTTGGGAGCTGTATTCTGACTAACCTCATTACTGATCATCGTGCGTGTAGCATCCCGAGGTAGGTATCTTTTACCTTCATCGTTTGATTCCCGCGTAAAATGAAACATTTTGGCGGGCCTCTTCCTAGAAGATTCACATTTTAATAGCGAGATCGAATTTCATGATTGACGTTTTTATTCAAATCGTGGCTTGTAAATTGCAAAATCTGTTCTCAGTAATTTATGACCTGCTTCGAGGCAAGAAGACGGCGCCTTTGAAAATAAAAATTAGCTGGGAAAAAAATAACCGGTTGCGTTTGTCTCACGGAAATGATGAAAAGTTTTTTCGCAACTTCGCTTACCGTAAAGTCTCTATGGCTCAGTGGTTAGAGCATCGGAGCGCGGAATCCGAAGGTCTAAGTTTCGACTCCATGGGGACTCAGACTTTTTTCTTTGTCCCACGTTCGTGACAAGACCCAAAAAAAAAACACCTTTCTCGATAATGAAAAAATTTTCTAGAGCGCCCGGGCCCATACTTCTTTCTTTTCCCTTTTTGATCTTTTCCAAGTCTTTTCCAGGAGCTGAATACATTCTTAGAAGAACAAAAGTAAGTAGAGGCAATGTTATTAGGTAAACGTTCGAAGTTGTCCCTCAGTGGAACGTTAATGGATAATTACATTGCAAAATTTAGGGCTAGAGCGAATGTATTTCTTCTTTATTCCGAGTCTTTGAATGCTCAAGGCCTCAATCTATTTTCTTCACATTGGGCCGCTTTTCATTGTTAATGAGACTTGAGTTTGCAACATGTCACTCGAATCAACAAACTCCTCTTAAAGGGTCTCAATGAGGTGATGACCTTTACGGCTAACGATTAGAATTTTATTGCGAACGGTCAGTTTATTCCCGATTTTAAAAAAGAAAAATTTTTGCGGTTTACGTTTTTTTAACGACTTGCGACCAACTACAGTTTATGGCTAATTATGGCCATTTTATTTCTGACCGTAACTTTTTTTCCGTTACGATTAAAAGAAATTTTTTTACGGTTTGCTTTTTTAACGACTTGCGGTTAAATTTTGTTAATTTTAAGGCTTAACGGCTAATTTTTTGGCCGTTTTACGGTTAACCCCATTGAAACCCTCGTCTTTATTTATTTGTGTGGAATTGCTGAAAATTATAGCCACTAATTACAAGATCACACAGCTTATTTTCACAGGCCCACGTTTTGCTGTAACCGAGAAAATGCAATTAAAAATTTGAAAATTTTACATACAGTTGAATCGGTAATTATAAATGTGTCAACCCTTAGTCTGGCTACTGTCCTTAATTAAGATTATACAGACTGTCAATTCTCTCATGACTAGAATTTTTCACTGCGTACATTTTAGAACACTCACTTTTTAGCTATTGAACAAGATATTTTTTTTCTGAATAAAACATACATTTCTCTTTTATTAAAACAGACAGTTGCCAATATCTAATGCCCCATTCACACCAAAGCTTAAACATGTTTAAAAGTTGTTTTGTTAAACACAGTTTAATTTTTCTTTTCTTCATAGAAACTATTTAACCGAATATTTTTGACTTGAATGTAGCACATTGGAAATACAAGTTAGCTAGTACTTGAATCCAAAGGAAAATCAAGTTTTTCAGTTCTCTGTTTATAATTTTCATTCAATGAAAACCAGTTTAACAAAACATGTTTTGCTGGTGTGAATGGGGTATAAGTTATCTTCGGTAACCTAATTACTCAATCTAAATACACGTTTTGAGTTGTGGCGTATTACATTGAGCACTCAGAATTCTTCCCATCGCCGCAGAATGTCACCACCTGCCTTGGATTGATTCCCGGAAATAAATAAAACATTCTTTATGATAATTGTGAAATAAATAAGAAGTCGGGACATGGTCGATGTAAATTCGTTGGTTTTCACCGGAGTGGAACTCCGAGAAGGCAGTATGATACTAAAATTTCAGAAATCAGAACAGACCCCAGTAGTAACCTACGGTAAATGAGGTTGAAGATAACATGAAAACAAGGTGATTACAGTTTATTCAAGAAATGATTATTTACAACTTAAATTGATTTTAATGCATTGAATATCATTCATTCAAACAATCTCCTGGAAAAAGAGAACTTATCTTTCTGACCATCTTCAAGCGAGGCTTTGCGACTATGTAAAAAATGTTTATACTTATCTTTTTCAGTATTTCAAGCTTAATTCACAGAAGTAGAATGGAGATTCCTCGATGGTTTACGTTTATTTCACTACTCTCAATATTAAGACAAGAGTTCGTTTCTGCTGATAACATTTGCCGAACATTCAGTTTCCATATAAGACAGAACCTCGTCGCCGACCACGCCCTAGAGGGTCACGTGTTTAAAGTTGCAACAGTTACCACGATTCCTGAATGTCACATCCTGTGCATAAATGACTGTCGTTGTGTCTCCATGAACTACGAACATAAAACTGCACAAGGAAACTGTCAAATGAATGATGCGAACAGGTACATGAAACCAGCTGCACTGAGATACAAATATGGAGCATTGTATTACGATCTTGTGAGGGAGTACTCCGTGTCTGATGTAAGTGCAAGCTAACTAAAAGAACCTCCCTTACTCCTTGCGGATTTATTTTTTAAAACCTCTTTCATTATTATTTATTGTATTTTCGCGTAAGTTTTAATGGGCCACATCGGAGTTCCAAAAACCTCATTCTCAACCTATTGTCACTGTTAAAGGGCCTTCTCCTTAGAGTGGGTTTCAGCTCTATGAAAATAGACAAAAAAATTTCATAGTTAAGGTAACTAACTAACTATTGTACAGAAAGACAGGCTATGCGTTGATCTCGTGCGATTCTTAATTAAACCTAGAAGTTCTGTTCTTAATCGTCGTGATCTATCAGTATTTAATAGGGATTCTGAATCAAAAAAAATTTAATTTTTCAACGAACACGGTACAATACTCGTGCGAACCTTATCATTGATATCTACTTTCTCATTTGTTTTTATCAGAAAGGAAGACCTTTGTCCAGTAAAACTGGCCAGTGTGTTAACAGATGTTGCAAGGACAATCCTTGTCTCCAGGGAGGGACCTGTCAGGAGATTTGTGACCCTGCCACAGTGAGGTACAACTGCACTTGTCCTGCCAATTACACTGGTCAGCGGTGCGAGAAAATAAAGCATCCTCGCAATTGCATGGAAGTTGCAAAGAATGGCCATAACGTGTCTGGAATGTTTGATGTGTACGATTCCCAGAAAAATATTTTTAGAGTCTACTGCGACTTGAACTCTGAGGTTGGGTATGTTTGGACGCTGATACAGTCCTATTCGCTTGCAAACAACCACCAGTTTAAGAGTAGCGGCTTTAGTGTGGACCACCCTGTAAACGAAGAGGGGAGCACCATAAACTGGAATGCCTATCGCTTATCTTTGGCTCATATGAAGTCAATCGCTGATGTTTCAACCCATCTCAGAGCCACTTGCAACTTTCCAGCCGATGGTCTCGTTCATACTGACTACGCACGCGCAAAACTGGAAGGACATGATCTGTTTGGTGTATGGATAGCCAAGTGTCGCACATATGAACTTATCAACATTCGTAACATTACTTGTCAGGGATGCACAGCAGGTACTTGGCAAGCACCGAACGAGATATGGCACATTAACAGTGCAGTTAGCGCCAAAAGTGCTGGATGCCAATTCAACGGCGAAGCAGGTGCAAGTCCCCATGAACAAAACTTTGGCCTTTACAACGCCGTCAGTCCAAACTTCCGATGTACTTCCAGTCAAAGTTCCACAACACAACACTGGATTGGGAATATTCACATTTACCCCTAACAAACATTGTACGTTTTAATTACAAACTAAAGCCTTCTTATGACCTTCAGCAAAACAGGATGAAACCAAAGAAGAGACACATGGTCTCTCTCTCCGGTCTCATTTTTTTTCACGCTGCCAATACTTTTTATTTCTTATTTTTGCGCTCCTTCGACGGTCAAGGCTGGAAGACAGCCTTTCGTAGCTTAAGTACGGAGGCAGAATTGAAAAAGTCGGGCTCTCTGCCAACATTGATATATTTAACTTGTTTATCTCGATGGCTGTAAAAGGTTATTATACTGATCAAACAAAAAAGCAAAGAGATTTTGGATATTGCATAGTTTGAAGCTTTTTAGTTTAACTTGTCATTTCACACGGTCAAATCCAAACAATAAAAAACAAATAAATTTAGAAGGTACTTTGAAATGATCGATTCCGGTCAAAATTTGCTACCAATGCTGTATTCCACCCACCGAAATTACGAGGATAATTAAAACTGAACACCCAGAAAGTTTATCACTGTAGTAAAATCGACGAAAATTAACCTGCTGCAGTGTAACCGGTTGCACATCAAAAGAACATCGCAAAACACAGATAACCCCATCCCCAAATGCACTATGAGTTAAAAATTGCTAAAAAAAATTAGGCATGAATAAAACGCACCTGCTGACTAACTATCTACATCACACAAAACCGTACAGATGTCAGAATGCTAGCTATAGGTTGTCAAAAGATTCATCGATACTAATTCCATTCAAAACCGACCGCTGCTAATAGGTTAGAGGTCGTGCCAATACGGGTGCTTTAATGCGGGTTAATTGTAATAGCTAGAAAGGCGAAGCTAGGTCGATAGTGACCAAGATACAGTGCTTTTTAATGCATTCCATAATATCTTGATAAGCGATACACCGCCTGGTTTACAAGGAGCATTAAGTCAGGATTTATAAGGTAAGTCAGCTTGTAGTTTCACTCGGAGGCAGAAATTCTCAGTAATCATGTGGAAGCTACTAGGTTGTTGACGACGCGAGTGAGGTAATCTATCACAGAATTGAATGATTCAGTAACTTATGCGATGCAAATGTTTAGGAGTATTGCTTTAAAATGCTGGACTGAAACACAACATGAGAATTTTGAATGTGAAATTTTGCATGTCTTTGTACATCTCTCACGCAAGATTTCTTATCTAAAACTGTCCACTTAAAGCGGGAAAAATGAGGAACGGAAGGGAAGGGTTTGCTAGGCTGTTGCTTGCTGTTGCTAGAAGATGTTTACCAAATAGCATCGGTACTGCCACCCACTAAATGTTTCAGCGGCTGCTTTATTATTAACATTAAATAATTTTCTTTGCTAGGAAGGTATAATCGGTCCCAGAAACGAACTTTTTAATTTAATTTTTGCTCAAGCAATATCTTCCATACATTATTGGCATACATCTCACACCGGATCTAGAAACACATTAACATTGTCGTCTTCTTACTAAAAACGCAATTATCATCAGCGCAACGTTTAGGAACATGAAATTATTCAAAACGAAGGTTATACATATTTAGAAGTTTTTGAGCGAACAAAAATTAAAAATATGCCAATTTTCAAAGTGGCCGAAGGGGATTTTAAACATCTGCCGTTTCGAAGGTTAGCCCTTTACAAAGATAAACATTAACAAATAACGCGTTGGAGGGTAATTGTCTGAAAAATCGTAATGTCACACATAGATGTTAAATGAATAAGAATTTCACACCTTTCCCAGGATAATGTTTGGCAGTATTACATGGAAAATTGAGGGAAGGTGGGCGAAATCTACATTAGAACGTTACGTAATTTTGATGAGCGAATGAACAACATTACCTTGCAGGAGGAGAATGTCCAACATCACTGAAAATGGACCCAAAATGGCAGCTGGTGCCCTTTATTGCGAAAATGTGCTTGGATTACATCATAGCATATTTCTTGCAATATTAAACTTCATTTTTTCTATTACTGCATGCCTGGGAAATGTCTTGATACTCATTGCCCTTCAGAAAAAGTCTTCCCTTCATCCGCCATCAAAGCTGATGTTTCGCTGTCTTGCCCTCACTGATCTTTGCGTTGGTGTCATCACTCAGCCAATGTTTGCCGCTGAATTGATTACCGAAGTAAACGAATTGCGACAAATTTGCAACCACATTGGAACAGTAGTAGGCATTTCAGGCATTGTTTTCAGTGGAGTTTCGTTGATGACATTGACAGCAATAAGTGTAGACAGACTTCTTGCTCTGTCTCTGAGCATGCGATACAGACAGGTTGTTAAACTGAGGCGAGTTGGTGGAATCTTGGCTTTTTTTTGGTTCCTCTGTATAAGCGTCCCTCTGATGAAGCAACTTACTGGCCTTCTATTTTTTTCAAATGTAACATCAGCAATAATCTTGTTATGTTTAATGATCTCAGTTTACTGCTACATGAGAATTTATTTTCGCCTTCGAACCAATCGAACCCAAATAGAACATAATGATAATGAAATCGGACAACGGAACAGGGAAGGAATCCCAACATGGAACATTGAAAAATACCAAAAAACTGTTTCAGCTGCAATGTGGGTCCAAATAACATTACTTACATGCTATCTTCCATATGCGATGTTATCTTTTGAAACTCTTTTTCCATATAGTGCCGTATCTTATGTTATTGTCATGAGATACGCAGGATCTCTTGCGCTCTTGAATTCAAGTTTAAACCCGTTTCTCTACTGCTGGAAGATGACAGAAATGAGACAAGCAGTTAAGGACATAATTGATCGGTATCGTTGTAATTATAGGAAGCAAGCTTAAAACGATATGTACATGTTTACCTCTTGGTATGTCGTGGTCGTCATTATACTTTGTGAGCTATTTCGCTACTGATTCGGCCGCGAGAATTTTATTAGAAGCAAGCAATTACTTGCTTGGGTACAAAGAGAATTCTCAACATCAAAATAGCTATCATTCTCCGAAATTTTTTTAACTGTCTGGCCGTCAGTCTATCTGAGTTTTAAATAAACATTGTCTTGAAACCTCATCTTGTGTCTGTTGTTATTGTGCATATTGTAACGTTCCTCAGGGCTTAGTCTTAAGGAAGACAGATAGAATAAGGGGGCAATAATGAACGCCTAGCAGAACGTGAGTTGATTCAACTCTATTGAAATCAAAAGTGAACAGACTCCTAAAGGCGGGTTGGATTATAGCTACCTTGAGTAACATAATTGTTGACTAAACGATATAGGATATTGTCAAACATATGGTTACTTTAAATGCTCCGGTTAACGCTTTCAAAGATGATAGTCAAAACCATAACCATTACAATTTCCTCAAATGTGATTGCTGCATTAGCTGCTTTATTTCTCACTTATCATTTTGGACAATTGTAATCGGGAAGTTGGCTGTAATCGGACACCTGTAATCGGACAGTTGAAGCAGCCAATCATAGTAAGTCCACTCAGCCAAATCCACCAATCGCAGAATTGATCACAATAATCATAGCAACAACCATCGAAAAACTGAGGAATTTCCAAAACAGATAAATTTTTTTACTTCGGACATTGTCTCTACCGGAGATGTTTGTCCTTAATGTAAGCCTTTTTTTCCGGAAATTGAAGCGGTTATTTTTAATTGGTAACAGGAATTCGTGTCGCCCAATTCTGTCTGCAATCACACTCGTGATCGACAAATCGGACTCCCGCCTCGCTGTCATCCAATTTTGTTAATCACACGTATGATTACAGACCGAATCGGACTCCACTCGATCCTATTACCGTTATCAATCAACTGGTCATTCGCGCGTACATCACGTTGCCTTGGGAAGAGATAGCAAACGGTGAAAGCTCCCACCACGTAATCTAGTAGACATGCTATGAGGTAGCCTTAGGGAGCTTTTGATATGATATATACATATCAGGGGATTTTAAAATCCCCCTATGAGTGAGTAATCACGAAATAGGCTTATAGGGATGAAAGTATAGTCTCTGTTTTTTCCCCTATATATATATATACACATACATGCCTCTTTTAATGAGACAAGAAACGATGTATATATTATATATGTATTTTCAAATTGCAACGTTCTTGAAAACGGGTGTATAGATAGAACAACATCCTTTTTTATTCGGTGTATCGATAAAAACATCATAGATGTTTCAGTCGGTACTAAATAAATAAAAGAAGTTTTCTGATACAAAAGTCATAATAGCAAAACTACGATGTCTTTTAAAAAAAATCTTAATAGTAACTTTTTGTGTTTGTATGAAGCTCAAAACCCAAAATTCGTAATCTCGCCCTTCTTATTTCATTGCATTCAACATAACAAGATTAATGTTCGTGCAAAATGTTTGTTTAGGCAAGAAATCATCATTAGACAAATTAAGGTGGTTTTTCTGTAGGAGGCCTCCACGGCAATTCTATGGTATTTTCAAACACCCTTTATTTAATATTTCTGCTAAATGCCTGATAATTGAAAGCATTGACCCATCATCGAATTGATTTTTAAAATATATCATACAATGCCGATCAAATCATTGTTTGTGCATGTTAAGGAATATGGCCTACATATTCTGCACGTCATTGATTCTTCGTTCAAAAGTCAGTACAGGTCTTCTGCATCTTAAATCCTTCACTGTTCCGATTCATATTTCTCCCCTCTAGTTACCAAGAACTTCCCTGTACATTTAAGTCTTATCACGAGTGACATCTGTCAGCTACACACTTGTAGAATGTCTCATTCATAATTACATTGTTTATTGCTCTTGAATCAGATTATTGGACTATTCTGATATGTCTAAAAAAATTGGCGTATAATTTTGCAGTTTTTCGCATAATATAATTCTGATAATTCTACTATTTGTTTACAAGCTCAAGTTGGTTTTTAGAGAAACATTTAACCCTGATTACCACGGAAAGAAGGGATGAATACTTTTTAAATCTGTTTATATCTACAGTTGGTCTATCACCTTTTTTACAGTGTTATGCATACGCATCTCTCCCTACATATCTACCCTCAAATTTATAGATATGCAAAGATTATAATTACATAATTTTGTACCCTCCTTCAGCATTTATTTTCATATCTATGTCTATAAAACAATTCAATTTTAAAAAGATAAATTTTTCTTCACACACCAATTTTAACATTTAAGGTTTCGTCAGTGCTTTGTTCCTGGTAACTTTGATTGCAAATTTTCAGCCCGGTTAGATAAAGGCGGACGGTAAAAAAGTTTCTCAATTAACGCTTCTACTAGAATAAAAGAATTGAATCAAAACGTTACGACTTCGCCGCCCAGAAGCTCAAAGATACATCTCCTTCAGAGTATTATACTAAAGAACAGCTGTGTTTTCCTTCAAATTACATTTACAGCCAGATTGAACCTAGTTTTAACACTACCTTTATTTGTTCATAACAATACGTTTTGGCAGTTATCATAAAGCAAAATAAAAGTTGCTAGTCGTAACAAATCAAGCCTCCCGCCTTTTCATAAATTACTATTCAAGGCTAATTCAATGACTAATCTCAAGAACAAATAAAACCACAGTTGATGCTAACGTGTACAAGCAAAGAGGCAGGAAAGTGCAAAAGAAGGTCCTGTAAATCTAATACTGTCCTCGAATGGAGAAATGTCAAACATAGAAATCTTTCGGTATCGTGTATTTTCCTTTTTTTTTAATCTGTACAAAAAGGTTCCTGTAGACCTTTAACACCTGTTTTTAATTCTTCGTCCACCCACGTAAAGAGGGCGAATTTCGGTTCTTTTGAAATTTTATGCGCATTTATACATCTAGACTAAACGAATGAAATATCTCGCTAGATATGATGCCTAGGTAAGCAACTTTTATTTGCGAAACTTGTAAAGCTTCATTCGGAAGTTTTCTAAGACGAGTACATATAACATTTCAAACACACACCCACATACACATATATAAATTCTATTATTTTTCCTTGAACAATGAATGTACATAGGTTGTTTTCCCGTGCGCTATGATGTCTATGCATAGCAAAATATAGATTTCAAAAACGGAGAGTTGTAACTCGAATTTACGCACTAAGCAATCATCAAACGAAATTTTTTTCTGGCAAGCAGAAGTTAACGTTTAAGTTTCAAATTTACAATGTGAGAACGGTGGAATCGTGTTTTCTGCTATCGGTTTCGAAATATTTGCTCTCATGGCGACATTTGGTGACCAGTTCGAGTCTTTAGCACAGCAAGTTGACATTAAGATGTGTACCGGCATAAATTGCAGCGGAATAGGTTCCATTTAATTAGAGGCGTTTGGCCCGCCGCTCATCAGTTTTTGATTTCTCAAGTTGCAATTGTCCCAGCACGATTGCCGAGCTTATGAAGCCTATGGAGCAACAGTGAACAATGACCACCAGTAAAACTGATCTTCATGGTGCTCATACCCTTCTTCAAGAAATTTACAATTCTCTACCAAGGTCCTAAAATTTGAAACTCTCTTCCTGTTTCACTCACTCGTTCGTCAAACCTTCTAAGCTTGAAGACGAAAATGTAAGAGTTTTTACTTAAATAATCAGTGAATTGGCTGAGCCGCACATTCGCAGCCCTTTTCCTTTAATTGATTTATTATTGTAAGTGAGGTGGCTCTCCCATAAGCCTGGTGGCTTCCTGGGTCTCCTCGCCTTCTAGTTGTTAATGCTGTGAATAAATTTTTGTTTTGTTAAAATAAAGGAAATAAAGATGATGATGATGATGATGATGATGAGGTAACTTTTGTCGCAAAAGCCGTATTTTCGGTCCACGTAAATGTTGTATTACTTGATCCATTTTCATGCTGGTCAAGAAGAAGGTTCAAATTTGGAAGTGGCTTCCATCATTTTCTTTTTAAGCTGAAAAATCTGTAGGGCATACCCCTACGGTTGTCTTTGAGTCGCCTTTACTTCCCAAAGTAGAAATATCTGTAGCTTGGCTCATTCTGTGAGCAGTGGATCGCCTCCTTTCTAGCGCCAAGCCTCCATTACTTGAATGTGTTATGTTGGGTGTCCTTCGTAAGATTCTCCATGCAAGTCTTTTCAATGTGCCTCTCATCTCTCGGTTGGTAAAACAGAATAGACATGGGTTCACAGCCGAGCAACTGTATTGTAGGGACAAAGTGATTGGGTACACAAAAAGTGGTATGTTGCGTGCCCCTATAATAAGCCCCATTACCAGCACCACCATATGAGGGACCCAGCAAAGGAGATACGCACCCACAATGAGAGAAATGCGCTTCGCTGCTCGGAAATTTTTACGGAGTTTTTCAGCGCTTGGACCCATTACTGGAACGATGCGAAAAACCCGCTTCGCCTGGCTCGTGGCGATGCGATAAACAATTGTGTTTGTACTTAACATAATGAACGCAGGAATGAAGAAACTTCCTATGGCCATGAAGAGAGTGTAGCTTTCAACGTTGTCATTGAGGCAGACATTGTTTCGAAGCGCTGCAGGCCGAGCTCTCCAACCCATCATCGGTAACAGAGCGGCAACTAATGAATACGCCCAAACAGCGCCTATTACTCCCGCGGTGGTTTTGGTCGTCGTGAATGCCTCGTATTTGAAGGGAAAGGCAATAGCGAAGTATCTCTCCATACTTACAGTGCAAAGATTCAAAGACACGGCTGAGAGGCTGACTAAGTTCACTGTAGACAAAAATACGCATTGTTCGGCTGACTTGAAGCGGAATGTTCCCTGAATCAAGCCAATGCCTATTGGAATAACCATGGAAACGATCATTAAATCCGCTATGCCAAGACTGACGATGAAATAATTGCACGTCGTTCTCAAACGCCGATTGACGCAAACAGTTGCGATGACGATTCCGTATGCTGTTAGAGAAGTGGCGATGATTAAAATATAGAAAAATGTCATCCCGTTTACATAAGGAGTGCTGTAATTGCTTCGCTTTGTTCCCAGATCTGTACAGTTTGAGGTCATCTGCGTGTTGGTTGAGCAATTAATGTTGGACATAATGACGTGTTGTTTGTTTGCTGCTCCTGAAATGAAATCGAAATAAAACATAAAAAAACCTTTCAAATCTTCCGACTTTGAGAAATATTATTGCCTCGACTTTGACAGCTTGAAACACGTATCGTTCAATTACTTAGGTACAAAGAAACTCGATTATCCTCCGATAGCCATCACGATTCGCTTTGATGCTGAATATAAATTGATCTTTTTGCAAGATGGGAGTTAGAGATGGTTCAGAAATATCAGAGGTAAGCTACATAAAAAATGGTTCATGTTTGGTATTCGTACATCGAGGTATGTTTACGGGCAGGAGAGTTTGGAGGGAACGAATAAGAGCTGCTCGAGGTACAGCCCGGACCGACTAACGTTTCGTGGGTGCTCATCAAATTTTCCTAGCAAAACTACAACTGAGCATGAACAAATTAATTTTTCGATCCAGTGGATACAAAGGTCTCTGTGGTTCGTGTTCAAATTTGCCTTTAAAAATGGTTTCTTCGAACAAGTTGTCGATGGAAAATTTGCCGATTTGAATAACCTGAAGAAAGTTTTCGATTTGGCATTTCCGTTCACTTTTTCTGAAGACGGACCTTAAGAAACTTGCAGTTTCATCCTGCGCGACTACCTTAATGTTATTTTGACGAACACTAACATCAGTAGAAGACAAAGCACGCAGGTGTAGGATCTCGCCGTTAACGTGGACGGGAACTTTACGGAAAAAATTCAATTGCATGCGCCACATTTTGTACTCACGACTGTACGTAAGCAGAGATGTAGACCATGATGATTTAATTTAATAAGAATTAGATAGGATAGGAGCGTGATCCATGGACTGTTTTTGAAAACGCAACTGCCATTGTATCGCCCAAAGTTTAAAATTTTTAAAAATTCATGAATTGATAGGAAATGAAAAAACAAATACCTTAACTCCTTGACTTTTCCTTTAGTTCAACTTTTTTTTTCCCAACTATACATAATCTGGTATGTCCCGATTGTATAAGTAAGCCAAATTTAAGAGGAAAACCGAATGATTGCAAGACGAATGCTATTCGCTTTAACCTTCTGTCGAACATAAATTGGTTTAGGATGAATTAACTTTCCTGATTTTCGCCCATACAACTTCGAAATTTATAAACCCCACTGTTTAGAATAATAGATGAATCGTTTTTGAAGGTAGCTGATAAATTAACTATAGGACCAACTTTCCGGGTGGGATCATAATGATACATTGTTAGCTATTGCAGGTGGAAAATGTTGTACAAAAAGACATTATTTTGAATTGGTTGAAAAAATTTTTTATCTCATTAAAAGGAAATTTGGAATCCTTTTACACCTCGAGTGACACGCCAAAGCCTCCTTACACGTGAAAGTCAGAACTCGAGACAAGCTTAAAGGAAAAAAACAGAGCAGAAGCGCTTATTTGAGACGTTTTTAATATTTGTTTTATTTCGTCTAACGTCTAAGAAATTAACATGAGCTATTTGCCCAATTTTTTTCATTGGCGGTTGAATGAATAATTTGAAAGACAAACGTCTCAATTTTTTACCAAAGAAAAAAAAACATGTCATGAAAAACAATTATACGCGGCTTGTCAAAGAGCATCTTACCCAACTATTGTTCTCATACAGGAGTTATGTCTAACAACTATGTTGTTCCTAATATAAAATCAGCCGTCGCTCAGAAATTTCTCATGTTCGATCCTTCTACAGTGAATTATTTTGGCTTGAATTATTTTTGCTTAAATAATTCAATGTAATATTGTCATAGAGTGTGCTGCTTGACCGCGCGGAAGCATATGACCCTGATTTGGATGGAATTTCTTTGTTCCAACTCTATTGCGATTTTGCAAAACAAGCTTTTTGGTTCCGGCAAATACTATTTTGATTTGTTACACCGAAATCCAAGTTTCTTTCAGCTGTAGTACCATTCGATAACATGGTTCGCGGGGTTCACAGAAACAATGTCAACAAAGCTACCGACAGAAATATTTCGCGAACACAATCTCTTTCTCGAGATGTTGTAAGCGTGCCAGTCACCCTATCGTACTTTACTTTTGTCAATGAATCTTATCTCAGCATCGCCTCGGCCTCTCAAACGTTGTATTAGTCAAATTACCATATTTCTCTCTCGGTTCTGTCAACATTTTCACCTCGTTTTCCATCGACCACCAAAAGCCTGCTTGATTTTGTTTGGCGAAGTAAAGGTTTAAACTCTAAACAAGCTTTGTGGCTGATTAAATTTTTGACAATCAAGTCGAATTACCGGATGAACAAGATCTATAAATAATTTTGGTTTGCTATTTTTCAAAATGCCTCCCGTGAAGAGACGAAGCAAGGTAGAAATAAAATGAAGAATTTCACGATACTGAAACCATTGATATAACGCTAATAAAAATTCAAAGAAGAAAGGAACGTTACTTTCTTTTAGTGCTTCATCACACTTATCTCAGTACTTCGATGCTGGCCGATTAAATTTCCCCTCTTAAAATGCCCGACAACTCAAGAAAATTTAATTTTGAGATGGCTGTGTTGATGAGTCCAGAGTAACCAAAACTACTGAGTTCATTTTAACAGATTTTGTAAAAACACAAATTTTTTTCGTTTTTCAGTATTGTCTAAAGCGGCAAATTTCTCTACGATCTACGTCCGGGTAAACAAGCAATCTCCCACAAGCTCCATGATTTAAAAATTGGTTGGTTTCAATTGTTACGTACATATCCTTAAAAAGAAACAAAATTTACGATTACCTTGCCAAATCGAACGAATATTCTTGACTTGATGGATGTTCTGGTCAGTATTTCGTGCCACGATTTACTCTATTTACGGAAACGACACAAAACTTCGGACTACCCGTCGAGTACTAATTAACTTTGCGGCCCGTTTTTCCATTTCTTTATTTATATCTTTTCTGACGTCCTTTGTCATTACCGTGTATTTTCTGTTTATCCACGTATAATTAACCAGATGACTGCATATGTTCCTCCCTTATCTCGGTGAGTTCTTGAAGGTGTTTTATCTAGAGGAGTCTCAATCCCTAAACAGTCTCTAAGTAATGAAAACGGAAAGTAAATTATGAAATATTTTTCGAGCGACTCACAATTGACAGCAAGCTCAAAATTGGAAAACGCAATATGTTAATATAGGATAAGAACGGAAACATTTTTTTCACGTGTACGAAACTGAACAAAAAGCACGAAATGATGCTGAAAAACAAAGAGAGGTTTAATCCGCGGAGCAGCAAGTTTCTTAATTTAGTTCTCTCTTGAAATTTACACAAATTAAGGCCTATCAGATCACAATTCCCCTAAGTCCATAAACATTTCTTCGGGCAGATGTTTTGAAAATTTTTTTAAAAATAATTCAGTTTATTACTGGTTATCAGGAAATAGTTGTAAGCCAGCCATCAGCTGGAGATGTGGGGTGGTTTTAATGATCAAAGTTTAACCCTCCCTAAGTGTACGCAGAGATCATTATCTGTAGATCACAAAAAGCTTACGTATTTGCCACTAAAGTAGAATATTTTTTCCTCATTTGTACGATTGAAATCAATTTATCCGGAGCAACTACGACCTCTGGTTGCATTTTTCTTCGCACCAACGTTCTGACTGCATGTTCGTTTTTTCGATAAGCTTTCATCGTTTTTTCAAACGAGGCTTCGTCAAAACAAGAAAAAAGATCAGCCAGTCTATACAAATTTTCGTGGATGAGACAGCGGAGAGGATATGCACTGTTACACTTGCGGTGAAATCTAAAAGAATATGTGATTATCGTATGCCAAAGAAAACCAAAGATACAAATTTGACAAATTGCTCAGAAAACAAATAACTAATTAGTTTTGTCTGTGTAACTTACGTCAAATCCTGGGCAGGATCCCCAAGACTCCTCGAAGTTCGATGAAACTTGTAGAGATTAAATCTCAAAACGTATTCTGTTGAGGTTGGAACGAGATAGGTTCTTTAGTCTTCAAAAATACGCTTAAGTACGAGTGTAAACCTCTGACGAAGGTCTGACCCTCGAAGCGTCCGCTTTAGAACTTTTTACAGTGGCCAATTTACATTATCAACTCAGATGATCAAATCGAATTAAACCTTAATCCAACTTGGTATGCTTTTTTCATTTTTAACGTCCAGGAAAATACGGTCAGAAAAAATAGACAACAGTTATTCACTACTTACGCAGTCAACAAAACAAAGCATATAAAAGGAGTCAAAGGAAACAGAGGTGCTAACGAAGGTGAGACAGGAGATTAGTGTGTGGGTCTGGTAACCTTTAGTTAAGCAATGATGATTTCGGGTTAAGTTTCTGTCGGCGTCGTAAGCAATAAGTTCATTAAGAAGCTGTCTTTTTAAACCTCAAATTCAACTTTGGTTATTTTCACAGATTCCTGCAAAACCTTCTAAGTGAGTGTCACCTACTCAAATTACTTTCAGAATACCGTCATTTTGTTTGATATTTTGATCTAATTTGTCTGTTCCGGGGTAGGAACAAATTGGAAATTTTACCTTCAGAAGGATACACTTTTTACTCCAAAAAGAAACCCGTGTACATAGCCCAAAATTTATTGCAACACCTTATCCCCCCATAGCAGGAGGCACATGACCTCTTGCCGTTACTAGTTTTTTCTTAACGTCTTTTAATTTATGTAGTAAGATTTCAACTTTTTACACACATACTTTTACACCGTGATATAAAAATGTACAACAAGAACGTACAAAACTGACTCTTCATGACAGAAAAGGTTGAAGGTCCCTGATTACCCAGATTACCTCCGAATTTAACTTTATCTTAAGTCTTATTGACTAGAATACTTCGATATGTCAAGTCATTGCTCAAAAGTCTCATTTAAAATTCTAGAAATTTTTCGATGTAGGCAAATCTCCTTAAACCAAAAGCACACTCAATCAAAGCTGCACAGTTTCAAGCCCTACAGTGTAATAATCATAAATCATAACTTATGGCTTATTCTAAGTTTGGAACACCACCCTAATATTTCATATCGGTCAGCAAGACTGGCCAGCACGAGATCTCGTTCGTGGCAACCTGCAGAAGAGGTTGAGAGACTGCAGAGGAAAAAGAAGATGAAATATACTTTGGAAACAACTCCTGTCATTTCCCCCAAGAGAAAAAAAAAACTTCTTTTTTAAATCGTTGAATTTTTTTAATGCAAGATAGCGTTGAGAGTTAAGAATATTTTCCATATTTTTATCATTTCCGACCTTTTTACTACTATTAACGTCTTACTTTGTGAAATACAATATGCAGTTTTTATCTTGTGAAGAAATAAGCACTGTTAAAACTACTATTAAAGAAACGTTTCATTTTTTGTTACCGAGCAAACAATAGTTTGAGAGACAGTTTCATCTGAGATGCGAATGAGGTACGGTGCCATTGGAATAATATTCTGAAACACTTGCATGCGCACCTCTTTCAGTCCTTTCAGAATAAATGTTTATGTTTAACCAGCAACCATAGAATCTATCAAAGCGTCTTAACAGGTCAACGGCATAGATTTTTGTTTTTATGTGAGCCATATTTAAGGGGTAAATACAACTACTGTACTTACAAATGGGAGGCTGCGTCGAGGCAATGGCACGAAACTGGTTCCTGATTACCTGATGTTTCAAGATCACCGATTTCTTGAATGGTGAGGCGTGTTAGGCGGCCAGATTTGTTGACTTTGACCTGGATTTCAGGACAGATCAAGAACTTCATAGGGTGTAATAGACAAAATAAGAGATATGCATGTAAGTGGCAGTGTATACTCACCAACTAATCAACTGCTACATCGATGAAGCAAAATTCTCCAGCATTAAACAATGTTTAGCGAGCGATTCTTCCGACTTAGTGAATACCACATGCTTTGATTAAATGTAAAGCAGTGACACGCACTTGTTTACTTTATAGGATCATGCAAACAAAGAACAAGAGTTTCTTTGAACAATCTAGCTTCCGCTCTCTATTATTATCATAAATGTTATCGACTCTTCTTTTGTTTTACGGACAGTGGAAAACAAAAGATTTGTAAACTGAAAACGTGGCTGCTTTAACTACTCATTATCGTAAATTTTCAACGAACGCTTGTTGTTGGTCCTTGCGGTGGTTATTTAACCTCGTAAAAATATTGAAAATATTTAAAATCATGAAAATTGAAAGTAAATTTTACCATCCATAAGAACTATTTTACAAAGTTTTGTTAAGTTTTCTTCGAGGGATACCTTCTCAGCCACGGTTCTGTTCAGCCTGAGGCCTGTCTAATACCGAAATTTACATCGAGCACGCGGAGCGAATATTTTGAATAGCGAAGGGCATTGAATACTAAAACTAAATTAGACACAAAGCAAAATAATATGTTTTATAATCTCCTAGGTTCTTGCTTGAACTCATTTGTTCAGAGCAACAAGATTGCTCAGGGTGGATAAAAACTGCAAACAGGGTTGCTAAAAACTTATGCTTAGAGGTAGACTAAAAGTTCTTGTTACACACTTTTACTATCGAGAGGGTGATCTCAGGGACTGGTTTTTATTAAAAAAATTGCTATATCCTGGAACGATTCTCATCTTTGTGAAAAGAAGAAGGGCAAACGTGCTAAAGCACACACTAATGTACGTACAGAAGAGTTTGGCAGATATTAGGAGCAAAGCGAGTGCTCAAATGTCCTAATTACAGGAGCTAATTAACGACACTTCTCAATATATATTATTAAAATTATTGGTGTTCCTGTAGAGTCAGTAACATCGGGTAACTTGTGAACGTAACTTATCATAGGCAAACAATAGGTAATTTAGTGTTAAAAACTGAGTTGAAAACGTAAATTAGGCTTTTTACTCTTTACGGTGGCCAATTTTTTGTTAACACAAAATTACCTGCTATACTCTCCCACCGACGCAGCACCACAGTTTCTTTAGAAACTTACCCCCTTTATTCATAGGCAAACAATCAGTTTTGTATGCGGGCTCACGCGAGCCAGTAGCTCGTTTTCTTTAGGTGTCTTAGTATTTCTAATGACATCTGGCAGGGCGATGTTTGGAAGTATCACATCTAATTACCAAGAGATCTGCTTAGGTGCCTTAGCTATCGACAACACGAAACTTGTAGAGGAAAATGATATCTTTAAACGTCTGAGACTGCCAGCGAGTGTGTATGGGCCTGGGTCCGTATGTACATAAAGCCACCGACGACTAAAAACTGCATCGTAGTGTACCTAGCCTGGGTCGAGGGTATAAATTGTATGCAAATATTGTGAAGAAAACGATTGAAAATTATGAAATGCGCTATAAAATGAAAGAAATTGTTACCACAGCCGGGCTTGATCATCCTCGGTTGTCCATCAACATAATTAATTGTGTGAGGTTTCCACATCTTATCTGAGATCGACAATAAGTCTGAGATCAGGGGAGTTCTACCTAACACAATTACTTACAGTGTAAGCCAGTGACGGACTGTATCTATTAAATTAAGTGAAATGTTTTATGAAATCCTAAGCTTATGTGCCACTGTGAGATGATAGCTTACGAAATCACCCAAATGAGACACATCTCTCCGATCTTTCCCATCTTAAATGGTTCGCACGAGCAATTCAACGAGAGGTTTTTGACATGCAGTATTGCGCATGCGTCCCACCTTATCTTACATCACCTTATCACCTGCCAGCTTTGACTCAGTTGGTTTTTACTTATCTTTCCCTGCTGGTAAACAAAATAGCAATTACTCACAATAATAGAAAGTTATAAGTCCTGGATAACGTACACGCAGCCTCAAGATCTATATCTGCCACACGGGGAGGTAGAAGTGTAAAGTCTGTTCAAACAGGATTTGTCGTGAATTTTCTTTAACTTTTGGATTTGACATAAGGTGAGTTTGAAGTCTTGATGGCGTGATCACTTGACACAACGGGTGCCTGAAGATATTTTGCCGGTAGGGCACGACAGGGTCCCGTTATAAATGGAAATAAACAGATATTCGTGATTTCAGGATAACTAAAAGGTAAAACAATGAAGAATTTTAAAAGCGCGTTTTAATTTGCCAACGAATTTTTTAATTTGCCAAACCTTTCAATACACAGCATAAATTACATGAACAACCGCATCTATCTACGACTAAGTCAGTAAAATAAAGACCAACCCGGGGAGAGGGGGAGAGGGGGAAGGGGGAGAAAGGGGAGGGGGGAAAGGATTTTGGTTGTGTCACAATTAAATTTACCTGATCCCCCATGCCACTTAGTCTTTGTAACATTCAGTCTTATGCCCCTCCTCCCCGTTCATTGACAGTAAATTGGCAGTTAATTTCTCATGGTCCCCCCTTCATACTCTGTTATTACTCCGTTATCTACTCTGTTATATACTCTTATATACTCCAATGTACTCTTATACGCTGTGGTATACTCCGTTAATACTCTCCTCCCCCTAAAAATCATGTGATCTCCCAAAATCCTCCTCCACCTTCTCAAGGCGAAGAGTGATGACTGGTCCCTGACATTATGTAACGAAATTGATAATGATGACTGCCACACAAATGATTGGTATGATTAAGAATTTGCAATTATTGATAACACTAAGTTTGTGTTCTATTTATAATTTGTACTACAGTAGTAAGTTTTGGCCTTCCCAGAGAATTATTAGTGAGTTTTGACCCGTGGCACGCGACACGCCCTCCTTCAATCGGAAACATATTGGAGGTATATCAATATTGCTTGAGAAAGATGTTTTTCATCTTCTCACGAGCGTGGAACAAAGAAAAAATTCTGAGTTCCCATGAGGAATCGAACCTCAGACCATCGGATTCCGCGCTCCGATGCCCTACCACTGAGCCACAGAGACTCTACAGTGAGCGAGGTCTATTACGAAGTTCATGTAACACGCGTCCTGCATACTGCTAGGATCAGCAATGTCGATTGCGTCATATTTGGTAATAGAATAAGAAAGAAAGAAGGTAAGTTTTGAGCTTGGTAAAGAAATAGAGAAGGATGTTTTTCGTCTTATGGGGACAAAGAAAAAATTATGTATCGGAGCGCGGAATCCGAAGGTCTGAGGTTCGATTCCTCATAGGGACGAAAAATCATCTTTCTCTATTTCGAGCTCAAAACTTACCATCTCTCTTGTTCTATTTACAAACAACATTCCTTATCACGCTTTTTCATTTATTTCACACAAAACAGAACCGGAGATGCTTGGGAGTGGCGTCGTGATTATCACAGTCGTTTGCCTCGTGTGCTGCACATGGTTTCTGTGCATATGGTCCAATGAACTTCGTAAGAAATATCACGTGGATTGAAATTGAGGGCAATTGTATCTTCGAGACCTGTTGACTGCGAAATCATATAAAGTTGCCCTGGAATAACGTAATATTACTGTTGAGGGACATTCAAGTTATCTGACAATGGACGAGAGTCTTCCTAAGGGTCAGTTTTTAAAATTGAATAGGGGAAAATAAATGGTTCATTGGCTGCTTTTTCGGAACAGGGTTTATTGAATGCAGTCAATTCGCTTCAGGGGAAGTATCCGAAATTGATCTAGCATATTTTAGTTTATTTAATTTCTCTACGTTCCGAAAAAACAACGCATTTTTGTACTCTGAATAAAATGTGGACTGTATTCAGCTTGTCGTGAAAGCAGTTTGCAGCTGGTGCTAGAGCCAGAAAATGAGTGGATAAAACGGTAAAAAGTATCATTATTTCGTTGACAGAAACAATGAAATCTTCCAAACACATCATAATCTCTATTGTTACCCAAGATGACCATATCTTCATTTGAACTTGAATGATCAATTTCTGCTAGGATATATACCTTAAAAAAAAGTCATGTTAAGTGTTGTGGAATGGTCATTTTTCCCACTCGACTTTTCGTAGTAACTTTTACACAAAATTCCTTTTATCGCTTGTAGCGATGAGGAGGTTTTGCTGAAACTACACGAAAGTGTTCGTGACCAATGAGAAAATGATCGGCATGACTAGCAGGCTGCAGTGACAGGGGAGTGGGAAACGTAAATTTACACTTGTAAGATCTATTTCCACCAGTGTACCCTTGGAAGAAATTTATTGTCGGTGAGCACATCGGACCGTTTGTAGATCGAAAGATTAGAAAATAATTCAACTTGTCCCTCTTGTAGTAACTCATTTAACCACTTCTTTCTAAATGTAAGTCACCTGGTGTAGATCGATGCACGTAAATATTTCTCTGTTATTGTATTACGATTGAACATGATCGAAAGCCGGGAGGAGATCAGTTTCAGAATGATTCGAACCGATTGAAGACTGGTTTTTGGGGAGTGCATGTATTTTCGGCTTTTTTTTATTTTCAGTCAAACGTGCGGCAAGATAAAAAAGTTGTAATATTTCAGTAGAAACGAAAAGCAAGCCTTGCTCGTTAATAAATCTCTCTCTCTCAAAAATTGTCATAGTTTAAACCAAATTTAAGAGATCCTCGTAGCTATGAACACTACTGAAGTAAGGTCTGAAAAAATTCAGTCAGTAGAGCGCTGCACCGGTATCGCAGAGGTCATGAGTTCAAATCCCGTTCGGGCCTGAATTTTTTTTCAGGTCTTATTTTAACTACTAGTTCAGTTCGTAGCTGCGAGGATCGCTTATATTTGTTTATTCTACCGCAGTGCACGTGTATGATTTTCATATATCTACAGTCATTATAAAACCAAATTGTTGTAAGAATAAACACAGCTCGAGACAGTTT